CCCCAACCTTCCCCCACCCTCCCCTTCCCCCACGTACACTCCAGGTCTCCAAGTAAGAGCTCTCACCGAGTCTTTAAGGACGTATAGCAGCTCCTCCGGAGGGTAGCTTTCGCACAGCGGAACCGCCACTCCCCCCGCCGCCCACGCCGCCCACATCGCCGCCACATAGTCCGTCCCCGGCCGCCCAAAAATCGCAATCCGCGGACCTTCCGCCGCCTCCGCAGCCTCCGCCGCATCCGCCGCCTCCACTTGCTGCTGCTGCTGCTCCGCCCGTGCTTCCGCTTCCGCTAACCTCGGCTCGACACGTGGCAGACGCTTCCGGAACTCGCGCGCGAGCCTGGCGGCGTGCGCGAGGAGGTCGCGGTACGACACAGTTCGCCCGCCGCAAACCACGGCGGGGGCGGACAGATGGTCGAAGGCGGACGCGGGGAAGCTCCGCGGGAGCGCGGGCGCGCGGTGCAGTGGGCGCGGGGAATGCGCGTAGAGATGCGGATGATTGGAATGGTCCTCCGGGTCGTGGTGTCGGTCGCGGTGTCTACTATAATACTCCGTACTATGTCTACTATTATAGTAGTGCCGGCGCTGGTGGTAAGAGTAGAAACGTTCGCTGATAATACTGTCAGCGGAGTGTTCTTTAACGCGATTCGTAGCATTAGTAGCACCATCGAAAGTAGAATATCGGCGGTGCGAGGACTGCCTCGAAACGTTACTGTGGCGGTGGGCGGTACTATCAGCGGAGACGGAGGCGGCGTAAGCGGCTCTGAGCGAATGAGCTAGAGCGTTTTCTCCGGCATAACTGCTACTTTTAAAATTGCTGGTGGCAACATTGGGGGAGAAAACAGTATCACAATCTTTCAAAGAACCGAGCGATTCGTTGCCGGGACGGATGGCCTGGATACAGATGGAAACAATTCGCGGGTCGTTTAGGAGACGGTTTCGCAAGCCCGCGAGAGTACGGTTTCGGCTGTTAATAAGACTCATTTTGGTTACGAGCTAAGCTTGATTTCTAGACCCGAACCAGAATACGACTTGGTTACAATGAGAAAAACGTCACGGCTTGGAAATACCGGAGCCTATCGAGCGTAGCACTTGCATTTGCCAAGCGGCGATGGTTTTGAGAGGCAGAGAAAGGGAAGTTAGGGAGCATAAACGCTGGACGAGCTTTTTTCCAGCTGTGCTATTTAGAGCTTATGAGTTATGGTGACTGAAGGAGAGGCTGCGAAAGAAGGATGTTTCGGCAAGCGTTCGTGAAGATGTCAGCGGAGTCGTTAGCGGATCCACGAAGTCAGAACGGTAACCAGAGGAAGGGAAGAATCTGTTGACTTTCGCTCGAAGTGTTGGAGTTGCAGATTGGAGGTCACGAAATCTCCTGCGACCAATTATTACGTAGTTGCGACGTCAGCTGCTGTGCAGAATCGGCTGCTATTGGACAACGACGAGATGCTGCCCCATGTTCTGCTTATCCTGGCACCCCTTCGACCGTGGAGAGCGTGGTTTTTGGAGATTCGAGGTCACGTCAGCAGCTTGGAGCCAATCAGATACGGCTTGGACTCCCAAGTCCAAGGTACAGCCACGTCCAGGAATACCAACAAAGCAGAACGGCAGAAGCAGACTATCTTCAAATCTGTCTGATGTTCAAGCCGTGTTCTGATATACACCGTGCTTTGTTTTGAGATATAGGTTGTATGTAAAGCTGGATGGATTATATGTTGAGAAAAGGACTAAATACTTCCCTCTATCAGCACTGAGCGACCAAAGCAAGGTTCATAAGCTGCTGATTCAGATTTTTTCCATCCACGACGTTCTAATACCTAGCCCCATAAGTCTTATGCAACAAAACCGTGAATATACTATAAGGTATATATACAAGGTGTATAATATCTGCTTTGTTTTAGACAACAGCTTTGATCTGTAGCGGCGCAGCACATAACAAGTTTCAGCACAGCTATCCTACCTCTGTGCCTAGGAATCTAGCTACTTCCTAGTTTCGTGATTCCTACACGCGGCTTCAGTTCAGTTTCATCACTCAAGTGTGTCCTGGACTTCTCCCCATCACCGCTTCCTGTTGCTCAGCGCGTCTTCGGACCAGCAATTGTGACGCTAGCAACGCATCAAGAGCTACTGGAAAATTCAGGCTCAGCGAGTTTCACGTTTTAGACGTCAGCTGCGCTTTAGGTGCCAGCGGATTTCTAGGCGACAGCGCGCCGGTCATCCAGCGCATCTGGCGTTTAGTTTCGGAACGCGTTGATACATAAGTAGTGCGCTCCTCGTTACAAGCACCAGCTGCGCATTCGGCGCCTGCACCAACACCACGCAGAAGCTGCCAGAGTTAATTGCTCGCAAGCGTTTCACGCTTGGAAGATGAATTTCATATCCGAAACGCAGGTTAGTAAATTCCAAAACCTGCTTTGAATCGGTGTCCTCTCAATAGCGCTATAAGCACAATGATGCTTGATATGATTTACCCGACACTAACCACCCTTGGTCCACCCGTTCTCGGTCTACCCTTGAGCATGAGGACAGCATGAGGACACAGTATGAGTCGCTCTAACTGATGGTGACAATTGATACTTCAACCCTCCTCCGTGCCTTGATGCTTTGATCACTAGATGCTGGTCTCGATTTTGTATGATTTGATCCCCTCCGCTTTTTTTCACCTCCCCACCTCCCCTCCACACTCTCCTCCTCCCCCACCCTTTCCCCCTCCTTCGCCGCTCCTCCTCCCCCCCTCTCGGTCTCTCATTTTCTCTGTCCCTCCCAGCTTGTCATACTCCCTATTTTGTCACATCCCCATTGTATCTCACCTCCTTGTCGTGTAACGGTCCCATGGTGTAACATCCCGTTGCGCCACACACCCCATTTTGTCACCCCCCATTTTGTCACACCCCGTTGCGCCACAACCCCCATTTTGTCACACACCCCTTGTGTCACAATGCCCAGTTAGAAGAGAACAAACGGCTGAGAGGGGAGCGAGTGGAGGATGGCACTGTAGCGGTGGACAAGCCGTTGTACGAGGTATGTGGATGATGAGGATGGCAGTGTAACGATGGTGTGAAGATGAGGATGTATAGTTCTGTAGCGATGGTGTAGGTGGGTAGGATGGTATGTATAATGTGCGCCGGCTATGCTGCTGCTTTAATGCCAATAGAAATAGGGCCGATGCTTTCTCGTGCTGCAAGCACTGTATGTGCTGCTATGGTTTGAGAAACAACTATTTGGATTTGTTTGCTTGTTTGTGTTTTTGCTCCTTGTTTTGAGCTCTTTTTTTTGTGGGTGTGCAGATTTTGAAAGAGCAGAAGGAGAAGAAAGACGCGGAGCACAAGGAGAAATTCAAAAACCGTAAGTCAAACTCCTCACAAAGCATTACAGAGCACAAGGAGAAATTCAAAAACCGTAAGTCAAACTCTTCTGGGGGAATTGTAACCAGGGCTCGACAAATTGTAACCAGAAATTGTATCAGAATGCCAGCTCAGCCAGCCGTAGCATATCGAGCATGCCTAATTGCTTGACTGCTTGTGTGAAATCAAAGAATGCCAGTTTGCTCGTTGGGCTCCTTTGCTCTCATGCTTGCTACGTTTTGCAATCTGACTGAGCTATGCTTCTGTGCTTCTGTGCTTCTTCTGTTGTGCTGTGCTGTGCCATGCGATGTGGTGGTGTGGTGCTGTGCTCTACTGTGCTCTTATGTGCTGTGTTCCACGGTGGTATGTGGTGCTGTGCTGTGAAATGCTTTGTGTTCACCCATCAGGCCCACCCAGGGCATTGGATGAGGACGAGCTAGAGTTTCTCGAAGCTGTGGAGCAGGTCAGTCAGAGATGGAATTGAACCCATCAGAACCGTAGAGTCTGTCAGCCAGTGATTCGGTTAAACCCATCAGAACTGCACAGCAGAGCAGCGGATGAGGACGAACTGGAGTTTCTTGAGGCCGTGGGCCAGGTCAGTCAGTGACTTACTTGAACCCAATTGAACCCCTCAAAACCACAGAGCAGAGCAGCAGATAGGTGCTGCTGCTGCTGTTGTGTATGTCTCACCCCATCAGGCCCACCAAGGGCATTAGACGAAGACGAGCTGGAGTTTCTCGAGGCAGTGGGCCAAGTCAGTCAGTGATTCATCTGAACCCATCGGAACCGCACAGCAGAGCAGCAGATAGATGCTGTGTGTCGCATGTAAGTCTTACCCCATCAGGCCCACCAAGGGCATTTGATGAAGACGAACTGGAGTTTCTCGAGGCAGTGGGCCAAGTCAGTCAGCTATTCACTTAAACCTCACTCAACCCATCTGAACCGCAGAGCAGAGCAGCAGACATGTGCTGTGTGTGTATTCACCCACCGGGCCCACGAGCTGGAGTTTCTTGAAGTAGTGGAGCAGGTCAGTGCGTCAGTGACGAGTGGGAGATAGTGAAGGAGAAGCACATCTGAGCTGTGCAAGTGAAAGCGCGCTACTAACTCTGTTTGGAAAGGATGTTTCTTTGTGGCATGCAGAAGAAGAGGTGACTTTTGAGTCGACTCAAAAGTCAACGCGCTACTAACTCTGTTTGGAAAGGATGTTTCGTTGTGGCATGCAGAAGAAGAGGGAGGACGAGAAGGAGAAGCACATCTGAGCTGTGCAAGTGAAAGCGCGCTACTAACTCTGTTCGGAAAGGATGTTTCTTTGTGGCATGCAGAAGAAGAGGTGACTTTCGAGTCGACTCAAAAGTCAACGCACTACTAACTCTGTTTGGAAAGGATGTTTATTTTTGGCATGCAGAAGAAGAGGGAGGACGAGAAGGAGAAGGACGATGAAGACAAGCGTGCTCTTACAGAGTTCCAGGTGTGTGCTTCACTCTCGTACTCTCACACTCTCGTATTCTCACACTCTCGTACCCTTGAGGGCAGTTTTTATCCGCATGGGCCGAGTGTGTGTTCTTCCCCAAGTATGTTTATCCTGTGTGCATCCTGGCCATTCATTCGACTAAAAATTGGTCTTAGTGAGTGCGCTGCTGTTTTACCCTAATAGCCTCCCTATGTGACCTTCTCCTCCAGTAATTAACGCGTTTTTCTTTCTCTTTTTTCATCACACCCCATTGTGGACTATCCTCCAGGCTGCTCTCCTGAGCCGAACAGTCACTGTTGATTCTCATTCCACCCCCGAGACTGCGGCTGCACAAGCAACCGGTGCTTCTGGTGCTTCTGGCTCGTCTGGCTCGTCTGGCTCGTCTGTATTGGCGGCTATTCGGAAACGAAAGGAGCCTGATCTTCCACTCATGCCTCGTCTGGGCGTGAAGGTTCAGCTCAAGGCGAAACCAAAAGTGAAGCCTGGAGAAGCTCCAGATAAGGTGGCTGATTCTACAGTTACCGGTGTTTCTAAAGCTGATTATTCTAAAGTTGTTTCTAATGCTTCGGTTGCAGCACGGAGTGGGATAGAAGGGGGTTCTGTTACTGGTGATTAAGGACGGGGGGGCTGTGAAGAGGGAGAGGCGGCGAGGCAGAAGGGGGATGTGAGAAAAAGTGGGGATGTGGATGAGAAAAAGGATGGAGGATCTTTGGGCGTTGGCTTAGGGCTTGGAGCATACGGTAGCGACGATGAGGATGATGATGACGACAACTGAAAAACCAGTTGAGATGTTTGTTCTCAGTGGCCTATATTCTATCCGCATTTTTTTTTTTGTCCAAAGCAGGCTGCCTAGCTCAAGAAGCAGCATCTTATGGCGCCTATATTGCAAGCGTTACTGCTGGTTAGGCGAATGTGTCGCTGATAAATACAGTCGAGTTCCGTTATCGCATAACATGTGCTTTCACTACCGAAGCACCATAGTTGATTGTGCTCCCATTTTCCCGCCATGTTTGCTGCCCGAGTTTGTGGCTGGGCTTCAACCCAGACACTTCAATGGCCCAATCACGGCAAAGACAAAACGACCTGCGCTGCGATGCGACACTTTCGAAGGCAAATCTACGGTCAGCACTTGCAATGGCCTAACGACCCATGCACGAACAAAACCTACAGACAACGAACTCCCACCCACCATACCCACGCAAAATCTACTCCCACCGCCGCAATGCGTTTCCAGCTTCTGGTTCGTTCCGCGCTTTCAAACATCCCCGAACCGACTAGTGAACGCTCGGTTCAGTTAGGTCGGGTGCAATATCCCTAGATTTTGTCGCACTCAGGCCTCAGGCCTCCCCCTCGGGCCTTTTCCTCAGTTGTTGGCTTCACTTCACTCCACCACTTGCGTTTCTGTATGGCTGGGGCTCCGCCGTTGCTTGCTTGTGGTGTGGTGTATCAGAGCCTGCCTGCGCTTCAGCACTTCAAGTTCCCTAGCTTCTCATCTCGAAGAGAAAGGCTGTTCGTCCTTTTTAGAAAGAAGCGGTGCTCGCAGAATATGTCACGTTTTTCATATGGTCTCTCACGGTTCTGTTTGATTATGAAGTCCTGCACTTATGCCGTATAGGGACGAGCAGCTACTGTATGACCTACAACCAGGAGCGTAATGTTCCGTAGGCGTTTCACCTATTTATCTGAACTCCTGGAACATAGACTTCGGTGAATGCTGCTGCTTTAGGTCTGAAGCTCGGTTAGAAGGATTCATTAGTTGACACTATGGCACTGTTAACCGACACATTTTACCGACGCGTTTTGATTTTACGTTTTAGTGATACATTCTTAATGATCAAGTCAAAATAGGCTGAAGCCGTGAAGGCTCAGTGCAAGTTGACAGACGGGTAGGCGTCAAAGTCTAACGGCTCTAACCCGCTAGTCGTTGATCTTGTATTCCCTCTAATGATCGATCTTGGCGCTTAATCATTTGCCGGCTAGAGTCTACCATTTTACGTTGTCCATTCGTGTTATTGAGGTGCCTCAAAAACCATTATTACCATTTTTATTTATCATCTAAGCGCTAAAAAACCGCCTCCACCACGAATTGATGTAGTATTTAGCCGCCTTAGAAACCGACAATTATTGCCGTCATGAATCATCATCACGTGCAACGAAGGCCAGCAAGCCATCACGAAACCCGCAACATATGGAACGAGCACGTGCCGCAACAGCAGCAGATGCAGTTTCAGCAGCAGCCGCAGCCGCAGCAGTTTCAGCAGGGACCGAGTCATTACCAGCAGCCGCCTTTGTCGCCGCAATTCCCGCAATACCCGCCGCTAGTGTCGCCGCAGAACCCGTCGCCGCAGCAACAGCAGCAACAGCAGCAGCAGCAGCAACAGCAGCACGAGCAACCGGAGGAGCTTCCGTGGGACCATGGCGACAACGTTCCCGTCGCCCCCGTTATCGCGTTCCCTGGTAACCACCCAGGCGTCGCTGGTAACCACGCGGGTAACCACATCGGCGCCGCGAATAATCAGGGTGGTAACCACCGCCGATCGCGATCCATGGGAATGGGGGCTATGGGAATGGGGGGCATTGCGCCTGATTTTCTCGCGCAGATGGGAGCGCCGGGGCAGGTTCCTCGAGGATCGGGGGGGACGGGGAGAGGCGCGCATCCGCCTGCGCCAGGGGGGAGAGGGGAGGCGTTAGCGCAGGGGAAAGTCGGGGGCGATCTGGACGGGCGCGGAAGAGGGAGAGGCGCGGGCGGAGGGGTTAGCGGCCCAGGGGAAGGTCCGAGGGGGAACAGCGGAGTGGCGGGGGGAAGCAGAAGCTTAAGCGGAGGAGGTCAGGAAACGGAAGGCAAGGGATCGAATTTAGACAGTATTGACCCTCGTTTTAAGCCTAAGTTTATAAAATCCGGCGGACGGGTGTGGGAGATGTTTTCAGGACCGTCCGTTAATATATTACGCAGAGAGGACGACGCGGATTTGCCGCCCGAGGACCTAGCGGCTATGGTCGCCGCTCCTGTCGCAAAGCCTTCGCGCCATCGGCGCACCAAGTCCGCCTTCCCCGCGGACTCCGCGCAGTTCCTGCAGGAAACGGACTTCCGCGGAGGGGATGAGGGGAACAGATCGGGGGAGGGGGCGGACGGGGAAGGCGGAGGCGGAACTGGATTCGGAGGCGGGGATGGCGGAACAGGAGCGTGGGGAGCGGGCGGGGGAGGTGGGGGCGGGAAAGCGGGCGGGATTGGGGCTGGGGGAGCTGTTGGGGGAAGGGGGAGCGGTCCTGCGGGCGCGCAGAGAATGTTATCGTCTGCAGGGGGGGTTAGGCGCGCCTCCCTTGACGGCGGCGGAAGGGGCGCTACCCTTGAAGGGGGGGGAAGGCGCGCGTCCCTTGATGGGGGTAGGATCCTTGCGCCAATTCCCTCCTCCTTCTCAGACCCTTCCAAACCGATTCCCGCCCATCCTCTGAGGCATCGGTCAATGGACCTTTCCAATAGTAACACTTACAGTAGCACTGGTTATAGTAACAATAATTACAGTAACAATAGCTTGGGGGGAAATGCGGGAAGTGGGGGATTGGGCGTGGGAGGGTTGGGGCGTGGGGGAGCAGCGCGAGGGCAGGGCAGCGGGAGGGAAAGGGGCGCGCAGTCTCCCCTTGGGCAAATTCGTGAGCATGGGGATGATAACGAGGAGGATATTAACGAGAATTTCTTGCAGCAACACCAGGATGGCTATTCCAAGAAGTACGGAAGTGGGAATGATCCTTCAGGCCAAGCATCCGCCCTCCTTTCCCCCCTGCACGGCGGAAGCCTTGGGGGCGGATTCTCTGGGGGAGGCGGAAGGGGAGGCGGAGGCGGAGGGGGTCGAGGCGCAGGGGGAGGGGGCGGGGGGCAGGGTCACAGGCGCAGTCACAGTTTGCAGGGGCCTGGGGGAGGGGGCTGGGGGTTTTCCGGAGGGGGGAGCGGGGAAGGGTGGGCGGGGGGAAACTATCAGGCGGAGCAGGCGCAGGGGCAGGCGCAAGGGCAGGGGCAGGGGCAGGGGCAGGGGGGGCGGATGCGGAGACCTAGCACGGGGCAGATGGGGAGAGGCGGGGGCGTGGGGGAAACAGGCGGGGTGGGAGGAGGGGGAAGAGGCGGAGGCAGGGGATGGGTTGGGGGAAGAGGCAGAGGAGCGGAGGAATTTGGGGGAGCTGGAGGAGGGGGGAAGGGAAACGGCATGATGGGAGATGGAGTGCTGGAGGATAGAGTGGGAGAGGAGGGAGAAGGAGAGGAGGGAGAAAGAGTGGAGGACGGAGGAGAGCAGGAGGGAGAAGGAGCGGTGGATGGGAGAGTGCTTCCAGGCGAGGAGGGAGATGATGATGACGTTCCCGTTGCTCCTATTTCCCCTGTTCCTGTGCAATGGGGTGCGTCTAACGCAGGGTTCAAGATTCCAGGAGAGGGGATGGACGATATGGGCCAACAGCAGCGGCAGCAGCAGCAGCAGTTGAGTGAGCATCAGCTGATGCTGAAGCGGAGGCACCAGCAGAATGAGCAGGCGATGCAGAAAGAGCGGGAGAAGCAGGCGAGTGTGCAAGGGCAGCAGATACAGCGGCAGCAGGGGCAGCAGCAGCAGGGTCAGTACCAGCAGCACCAGCAGCAGTGGGAGCAGCAGCAGCAACCTTACCACCAATCGCAGCGGCAGCAGGGGCAGCAGGGGCAGCAGGGGCAGCAGGGGCGTGTGGGTCACAGGCGAAGTCACTCCATGGGGATGGCGGGAGTGGGCGGCTTTCCCTCTGATCTAGGGCAGCCTATGTTGTCCCCACAACTACCCATAGGGTTTTCACAGCAGCAGCAGCAACAGCAGCAGCAGCAGCAGCAACAACAGGTACAACCATCAGCAGCAACAGCAGCAGCATCAGGGGCAGAGGCAGGGGCAGGGGTGGCAGCAGGGTCAGGGATGGCAGGAGGGATCATGGCAGGAGCAGCAATACGAAACGGAGGAGGAAAACGATCAGCAGGAGCTGTTCCGATCCTCCACCGCCCCGGCCAAACCTGCAGGCTTGGCAAACGCCGCTGCTGCGCATTCTGGTGGCAGTGGAAAGGAATTCGGTGGGCAACCCATTATAAGCAGTAAGAGCTATACGAGCCCCAGTCCCTCCAAGCTTCACCCTCATTATAGTCCCGTGGGAGGGGGGAGAGGAGGAGGGGAAGGAGGAGGAGGGGGAGGGGGAGGGGGAGGGGGAGGGAGGAGAGGAGATGGGGGAGTAGCAGGGGGAGTGGGAGCAGGAGGGGGAGGGGGAGGAGGGGTGGCATCTCAAGGCATGTCACGACACAAGAGGACAATGTCTGCTAGTGCTGCTGCTGCTGGTGGTGGCGCGTTTGCTGGATATTCTGCTGTTGCAGGTTTTGATCCCGGTTTTGGTGCTGGTGCTGGTGCTGGTGCTGGTGCTGGTGCTGGCAATTCTGCTGCAGGTGGTTTTGGTGCTGTTGGTGGTACCCCTGGTGTTCCTGCGTCTGGTTACCACACTGGTAGTAACACTGGCGCTCGTTTGCCGCCCCCTCACTCCCCCCTTCGTCAAGGGGGTGGGTCTCAACCGGCCCAACACCACTCCCCTCCCAAACCCCACCCTCACCGCCACTCTCGCTCCCACTCTCACTCACCTTCCCCTCCCAAACCCACCCTAACCCCCACACTCACTCCGTTTCTTCCCCCAGAGCCCACTCTCAGTCTCACCCTCACTCCGTTCCTTCTCCCAAGCCCCATCCTCACTCACTTTCTCACTTACACGCCCCTTCAAAGCCTCCCCCTCACTCTCCCCGGTCCCCTCACCCATCTTCCTCGCCCCCACATCCCCCCATTTCCCCGAGCCATGCTGGGGGGAGTTGGGGGGAAAGGGCGGTTGGGGGAGGGGGTGGAATGGGGGGAGGGGGGGAGCGGGAAGAGGGGGACCTCCCCTCGGTACAGCTGTAGGAAAAGGAGGTGGAGCAGGGGGAGCCATAAGGGGAGCAGGGGGAGGAATAGGGGGAACAGGGGGGACTGCTGCTGCTGTTGATGCTGCTGCTGGTGGTGGTTTGAGTGTGTTGGGGCGGCCGTTTGAGGATATAACGGAGCAGTTTTTATTGAGTACGGAGGAGATTGGGAGGGGGCGATCGGGCAGCATCAGGCAGTGTGTTCATCGGAGGAGCAACCAAGTTTATGCATGCAAAACGATTCTCAAGGGGAAAATACAGGTATGTATGCCGTGGTGTAATGAGGCAGGGGGGATGGGGAAAGGGAGGTGTGGAGATAGGGAGGGGCGATCGGGCAGCATCAGGCAGTGTGTTCATCGGAGGAGCAACGAAGTTTATGCATGCAAAACGATTCCCAAGGGGAAAATGCAGGTATGATGTGTTGTTATGAGGCAGGGAGAAGGGGGAAGAGAGGGTTGGAGATGGGGAGGGGGCGTTTGGACAGCATCAGGCAGCGTGTTCATCGGAGGAGCAAAGGAGTTTTCGCATGCAAAACAATTCCCAAGGGAAAGATACAGGTATGATGTGGTGTGTTATGAGAGGTATGAGGGAAGGGAGGAGGACAGGGGATGAGAGGTGGCGGGTTATTGCAGGTTCAAAACACCAGAAAAGCATTTGAAAAAACGATTCCCAAGAAAGCATACAGTTGGGGGGAATGGGGGAAGGGAGGTGCGGATTAACGTGGACTGAAAATCAGAGAGAGTGTGCATTGGGGGAAGGGATGGGAGAAGAAAGGGTGGGCATAACAGCTGCTGATGGGAGTGTTTTGAGACGTGTTTTGAGACGTGCTTTGAAACACTACTTCAAAATCAGAGAGAAGTAGAAGAAAGGGTGGGCATAACAGCTGCTGATGGGAGGTGGGGAGGTGGGGAGGTGGGGAGGTGGGGAGGTGGTCAGGTAGTCTTTTTCCTTAACAGCTGTTGAGGTGCCTTCATTCATTCGGCAGTCTTATTTGCACTTTGACACACGTCACGTTCCGAGTGCGTCTGTTTTTTGAGGCGCCTCAAAAAGTCTGTCCCGTAGCAGCTGTTGAGGTGCCTTCATTCATTCCGCAATCTTATTCGAGTTTTGGCACATGTCACATTCCGACTGCGTCTGCTTGTTCTAATGTTTCTCCATGGCAGAGCGTGGAGGAGGCAGAAGATGTCCGGAGGGAGGTGGAGGTGTTGGGTGTTGTAGACATCTCAAATCCCAGACTTTGAGTGTGTTCGTCCGCTCATTTTCTGTTCTGTGCGTGTTTCCCTGCATGGCAGAGCGAGGAGGAGGCAGAGGACGTGCGGAGGGAGGTGGAGGTGTTGGAAGTGGTGAGGGGGCACCCCTGCTCGGTGCAGCTGCAGGGGGTTTTTGAAGATGCGGAGGTGAGTGCGAGGTGGGGGGCTATGACAGAGAGGAAGGGAGGCAGCAGCAGTGGTGGGGCGGTTGGTGGGGCGGTTGGTGGGGCGGTTGGTGGGGCGGTTGGTGGGGCTACTGAGGGACTTGGACGCCCAGGGTATCATGCTCACTCTTATGCTCTTCCCCCCGTTCCCTCCTCTCCTGCTGGGGGACCCACACGCCCTGGGCATCATGCTCACACTCTCTTACCCTTCTCTGGTTAGAGGCGCCTCAAAAGCAGACGAACGCCCAAAGATTATCCCCACACTCTGATAAGTTTCTCTCCATCGTCTCCTCCCCTCCTCTCCCCTCCCCTCCCCTCCTCTCCCCTCCCCTCCCCTCTCTCTCCCGCTGCAGCACGTGCATCTGGTGATGGATCTGTGCCAAGGGGGGGACTTGTGGCAGCGCGTGCAGTGCAGCAGGGGGAGGTGCATTCCAACCTCTTAACTTACCCAACCCAACCCAACCCCCCTGGACCCCTTCCCCCACTAACCATTTTCCCTTCCTCAGCACGTTCATCTGGTGATGGATTTGTGCCAAGGAGGGGACTTATGCCTGCGCGTGCAGGGGGGGGGGAGAGGGAGGCAGCAGCAGTGGTGGGGCGGCTGGTGGGGCGGCTGGTGGGGTGCTGAAGGATCTGCACGCGCAGGGGATCATGCTCACTCTCTCTGATGCCCTTCTCTCCGTGCTCTTACACACATTCTTATACCCTATTCTCCATTCCCTCCTCTCCTCTCCCATCCCCTCCCCACTGTTCCCCCTCCTCCTCTGCAGCATGTGCATCTGGTGATGGATTTGTGTCAAGGGGGGGACGTGTGGCAGAGGGTGCAGCAGGGAGGGCCGTACGGGGAAAGAGAGGCGGCTGCAGTGGTGGGGCGGCTGGTGGGGCTGCTGAGGGACCTTCACGCGCAGGGGATCATGCACCGGGATGTGAAGCCAGAAAATGTGCTTCTAAGGAGGGATGATGATGACGTGGACATTGCAGTTATCGACTATGGGGTTTCGGTGTTCTTCAATCCAGGTGGGTGGATCTACCACCGCACTTGTCAATGTTGCGGTGCGGGTGGGGTGGGTGGTTCATGCATCGGGATGTGAAGCAGGAGGAACTGCTGCTTCTAAGGAAGGAGGGTCGAGTTTTGAGTCGACTCAAGACTCGACTTATCACACACGGATGTGAAGCAGGAGGAACTGCTGCTTCTAAGGAAAGTACTCAAAAATCGACTTATCACACACGGATGTGAAGCAGGAGGAACTGCTGCTTCTAAGGAAGGAGGGTCGAGTTTTGAGTCGACTCAAGACTCGACTTATCACACACGGATGTGAAGCAGGAGGAACTGCTGCTTCTAAGGAAGGAGGGTCGAGTTTTGAGTCGACTCAAGACTCGACTTATCACACACGGATGTGAAGCAGGAGGAACTGCTGCTTCTAAGGAAGGAGGGTCGAGTTTTGAGTCGACTCAAGACTCGACTTATCACACACGGATGTGAAGCAGGAGGAACTGCTGCTTCTAAGGAAGGAGGGTCGAGTTTTGAGTCGAGTCAAAACCCGACTTATCACACACGGATGTGAAGCAGGAGGAACAGCTGCTTCTATCTAAGGCGAGAGGATGATGACGTGGACATTGCAGTGATTGACTATAGGGTTTCCGTGTTCTTCAATCCGCGTGGGTGCGTGTGGATTTTGAGGTGTTGAGAGCGGTGCTGTGCGACAAATGGCTAGGGGATGATGTGCGACACGCACCACATACAAACCCTAATTCCCCTCTCCCCTCCCCTGTCCCATCCCCTCTCTCCTTTCCTGGATATTCTCGATATCCAGGCGAACGCTATTCTGAGATCGTGGGCTCGCCATTCTACATCGCCCCAGAGGTTCTCCACGAATCCTACGGTCCAGAATCCGACATCTGGGCGGCCGGAGTGATCCTGTTTGTCCTTTTGTCGGGGGCGCTTCCCTTCTGGGGGGACTCTGACGAGGGAGTGTTTCGGGCGATATTGGAGAAGAGTGTGGAGGAGGAGGTGGAGAGAGAGGGAGTGTGGGAGGGCGTGTCTGACGAGGCTAAGGATCTGGTGTTGCGCATGCTGACAAAAGACCCCGCCCTCAGAATCACAGCAGATGAGGTCCTTGGTAAGGATATTGACATGGATATTGAATCAGGTGCTGTTTTGTACTGCTGTTATGGTCGTACTGGCACTGTTTTCTTGCAGGAACTGTTCTTATGCATTCACTTGCCTGATTTGCTTCATTCTTTCCTACGTTTTCCTCCATCCCCCAACAGGACACCAATGGCTGCAAGAGAATTGACGGAAACTCGCTTTGAGTAACAAAATATAACCAGGTTTACACTGATCTGGTGATTCATGCTGGTAAATGAAATGCAATTGCAGCCTTACACTGATCTAGCTCGTTCTTTGTTTCTGTATAGAAAGGGCTATAGATGGGGGGATCGTTCACTTATTGCTTCACCACAACCGCATACTGTATCGCGGATAACTGTTCATATCCTCAGTTGAATATGGAACCACCGCACTCTCAGCTGAAGAAAAAGGGGAATTGATCAGACTGGGGCCCCGGGTTAGCAGAAACAGTGCCAACTTGGGGCCTCGTGAGTCGCGACCCTACGAAATAGGCCCGAAGCAAATCACAAGACTGGGCAGCAGGTCCGAACCTGGCAAACTCGCCAGGTCACCACCTACTGCCTTGGGTTTGACGGAAATCGCTAGCACCCCACACCGCTGGAAGCACAACAATCCGTCAAACCAACACAGTCTGATCGAGATACAGCACAAGCAGCATGTAACAAACAACTCGGAATTATTACGGAAACATAAGACTGCCAGAACACAAAGAGCTGAAACATGAAAATTAATAAAATGAGTGGGCACAAAATGGGGAGGTTCATGACCTTTTTCTGTTAGAGAAATTTCAACCAACCTACCCACATTCTTTCAGAATATGTATACATACATATATGATTTACATGCAAGTGCTTCCCTTGTAAAATCTTCGATGAAAAATCTTCTACCGTATTCCCCCGGATATACCACCCTAGGGTGCTATGATAACTACACAAAAAAAAGGGGGGGTCTTGTCATCGGAAAAAGCTTCATTGCACCCGGGTCTTTACATAATGTGTATTTTTTTTATAGCGTAAAACGATTTAGTACAGATGTAAAACAAAAATACAGATGTACATTTAGTACTAATCGTTTTACGCTATAAAAAAAATACACATTATGTAAAGACCCGGGTGCAATGAAGCTTTTTCCGATGACAAGACCCCCCCTTTTTTTTGTGTAGTTATCATAGCACCCTAGGGTGGTATATCCGGGGGAATACGGTAGAAGATTTTTCATCGAAGATTTTACAAGGGAAGCACTTGCATGTAAATCATATATGTATGTATACATATTCTGAAAGAATGTGGGTAGGTTGGTTGAAATTTCTCTAACAGAAAAAGGTCATGAACCTCCCCATTTTGTGCCCACTCATTTTATTAATTTTCATGTTTCAGCTCTTTGTGTTCTGGCAGTCTTATGTTTCCGTAATAATTCCGAGTTGTTTGTTACATGCTGCTTGTGCTGTATCTCGATCAGACTGTGTTGGTTTGACGGATTGTTGTGCTTCCAGCGGTGTGGGGTGCTAGCGATTTCCGTCAAACCCAAGGCAGTAGGTGGTGACCTGGCGAGTTTGCCAGGTTCGGACCTGCTGCCCAGTCTTGTGATTTGCTTCGGGCCTATTTCGTAGGGTCGCGACTCACGAGGCCCCAAGTTGGCACTGTTTCTGCTAACCCGGGGCCCCAGTCTGATCAATTCCCAAGAAAAAGCACAGGTATTGCCGCACTTCGAGAACTTCCCTAGATAATTCCGTGAAGGCGAAACAGCCTGTATCACCCCGTGCTAGCGCCACGTCAGCCGCTGCTTTTCCTGTTTGGCGGGAAAAGAGACGAGCTCCGTAGGTCACGGCAAAAGGGACTCCAGACAGCCGTCCATCCACGGTACTACCGCCTTTTCTCCCCGTTTTACCGCCGTTCCTCGCGGTATTATCGCCGGAAAGCATCGCCGTCGCTAAGACCGGGAGGACCGTCGACCCTGACAATTGCCATCGCCGCTAGAACGTTCGATGAGAGACACAGTTCAGGCGATATGAATGATTATATGGCTGCCTGCTGGTCGCTCGAGGTTGTCTTGACATGAGAAAGCGGAGTCCTCGTCTTTGCCTCTTTCTTCACGCGTCGCCTTGTCTCTTGTACGCCTATTTGAGTTAGTCGATTCATCTCATATCGTCTCCGCGATGATCGGGCGGTCGCAGTGGATGGGTACACGTGGACTCGTATGCCTCCTCCTGCTCTCGTGCCACGTGTCAGCTTCTCACGCGTCCACAGCAGGCCTTGTCTGCGGCCGGAATGACGACTACCTTGGCCAATCCCTCCCTCGGTCCTATTTTGAGACGCACGCTGACGTGGACTCGAGGGACGCCACGTCAGCGCCAGCTCAGGAGCCGCCGCTTCTGAGAGTACAGCATCGCGGAATACGAACCCTGCGTAAGTGCCTCTGAGAATCGGTCTTGCGGAATCTCTGTAAGTATCTGGGGATTGGGTGATGGTAGTGGTGACATTTACTACATGAGACGTCTTAAGGCTCAAACCTCAATGTATGCCTGATTTTTAGAGACCGATTTGATAGTATTGTGTTCTGGCTGTGTCTGTATCCTCGTTATAAATGTCTCTGTTCTGGCTAACGGCAGAATAGGATGGAAAGTGATGCACTCCAATCTCCTTCTCCCTAATACCCCTCTAATTCACCCAGTTCCGCACCCCTTGTCCCCCTCTCCCCCTTACATATTCCCGTCCCTCCCATTCTCCCAAGCTACGCGATACAGCAAGGCGCAGATGCTACAGCGCTCCCCAAATTTCCTGTTATGTTCCCGTTTCTCTTTCCCCTTTTTTCCCCTTCTCTCCCCTGCTTTCCCTCCTTTTTAAGTCTCCGACGCCACACACTACAGCGAGCATCAGGTGCCGCAGCAATTCTCTGTGCGGCGAGTAGAAGGGGGAGGGAGCGATGCGCTATGTTCCAAACCCTCCTGTTTTTCCATTCCGTTCCCCCACCCTCTCGACCTTCGTTCTTGCCCCTCATGCTTCCCAGTCTCTGTCGCTACTCACTACAGCAAGCAACAGGTGCCACAGCGATCCTCTGAGAGGCGAGTGGAAGGAGGAGGAGCTATGCACTACGAGCTCTCTTTCCAAACCTGTTTGTTTCTCCCCTCCTTGCTCCCCTGCTTTCCCCCCTCCCAGTCTCCGATGCCACGCACTACAGCGAGCAGCAGGTGCCGTAGCGGTCCTCTGTGAGGCGAGTGGAAGGGGGCGGAGCATACGAGCTGAAGAACGGTCTGTTCTTCCTTGTCACGAGACCCCCTATTCTCCCCGCGTCCCTTCTTCCCCACATGCTTCCCAGTTTCTGACGCCACGCACTACAATGAGCAGCAGGTGCCGAAGCGATCCGCTGTGCGGCGAGTGGAAGGAGGAGGAGCCTACGAGCTGGAGAACGTGTGCATACACGCGCGGTTTAAGGGAGGGGTGATTCTGTATGGAGCAGAGGATGTTCCGGTGAGTGGGGACTGATTATAACGCGTATAGAGGACAGGAGGAGCCTACGAGCTGGAGAACGTGTGCATACACGCGCGGTTTAAGGGAGGGGTGATTCTGTATGGAGCAGAGGATGTTCCGGTGAGTGGGGACTGATTATAACGCGTATAGAGGACAGGAGGAGCCTACGAGCTGGAGAACGTGTGCATACACGCGCGGTTTAAGGGAGGGGTGACTCTGTATGGAGCAGAGGATGTTCCGGTGAGTGGGGACTGATTATAACGCGTATAGTAGACAGGAGGAGCCTACGAGCTGGAGAACGTGTGCATACACGCGCGGTTTAAGGGAGGGGTGACTCTGTATGGAGCAGAGGATGTTCCGGTGAGTGGGGACTGATTATAACGCGTATAGAGGACAGGAGGAGCCTACGAGCTGGAGAACGTGTGCATACACGCGCGGTTTAAGGGAGGGGTGACTCTGTATGGAGCAGAGGATGTTCCGGTGAGAGGGGACAAATGGGAGCTGTTTGTTACGCGTATGGGAATAGCAGTATGAGCTGGAAGGGGGAGCGATGCACTATGAGTTGCTCTCGGGCTTCCCCCCTCTCTCACTTGTTTCCTCCTTGTCCCCCTCTCTCCTCCCCTCCCTTCCTTCTCGCCTCAACTACTGGCAGGGCTCCTCAACTCAACTCCTTCCCGTATGTTGATGGCTTGCCCCTATGCAACGAGGCAGGCTGTTTCACCCTCCCTTCTACCCTCCTACTCTCCCCCATTCCCCTTCTCTCTCTCTTTCTTCCCCTACTGGCACTGGCAGGGCGATGGTGATGGCTTGCTCCTATGCAACGAAGCAGGCTGTTTCACCTTCCCAGTCACCTACACCAATGACAAGCTGCCACGTGGAAAGAGGGGGGACAGCGGGTGGATTGAGGACGCTACAGCTATCATCATGCCGCTGACGGCCGGCAATCCTTGGCATTTTCTGCACCACGTCATACCTTTGTCACATGTGGGTGAATGCTGGAGTCACCGAGGAAGTGAGTGGGGGAGGGAGGGAGCGAGTGAGTGAGAGTGTGAGAGAGCAACTCAAAGCTCATCCCTTTCCTTGTTATACCTTGTGGGCTAAGTAACCGGATTGCTTCTCCCCTGTCTTTCCTTCTCCTCTCCTTCCTCCCAGCTCCTCTCCTCTCAGCGCCATGCCCTTTGCAACAGCACAGCGCGCCTCTTTCCCTGCCTCGCCAGGGGGGTTGAAGGCATGACCTCTCACACTTTCCCTGCCTGGTTAGAGGGACTGAAGGCATGCTCTCTCTCTCTCCTACCCCATCCCCATATCCCTCCTCCCATGTCCCTCTCTTATCTCCCCATGCCCGTTTCCCCTCAGCTCCTCTCCTCGCAGCACCAAGCCCTGCGCAACAGCACAGCGCATCTCTTCCCCTGCCCGGCCAGGAGGGTCGAAGGCATGACTACTCACGCTTTTTCCCATCCCCCTTCTCTCCTTCGTACCTTTGTTACCTTGCCTCCCCCCCACACCCCCTGCTCAGCTCCTCTCCTCGCAGCGCCATGCCCTGCGCAACAGCACAGCGCACCTGTTTCCCTGCATGGCCAGAGGGATCGAGGGCATGCTAGCCCACGCCTCCCACATGCATGGGGGCGATGCTACTGGAATGGGGCATGGGGGCGATGCTACTGGAATGGGCCATGGGGGCGATGCTACTGGAATGGGGCATGGGGGCGATGCCGCACACATCACTGCTACCGGCATCTCTGTACCCCCCCCTGACTACTACTCCACTCGCCACTTCCCCTGGTGGCCGCTTCTTGCTGCCGCTGCCCCTCCAGGTGTCACCCTCTATCAGGTGTGTTGCTCAGGTGTTCCGTCAGGATTTTTGCTTGGTTGGGTTTTCCCCCCACCCTCTTACTCCTTTTCCATTACCTCTGCCGTTCCTCTTTTCCTTCTACTCCCCTTCCTCCCCTTCCTTTCCTCAACGCTTGCCTATTTCTGCTCTTTCCCACTGTTTCTTTTTGAGACGTCTCAAAATGTTACTTTTATCACGTGGCTATATTTCCTCAACTCTTGCCTATTTCTTTCTCCTCTTTCCTACTCTTTTCCGTCAATCTCTTGTTGTCCCTCGTTTCTGCGATCTTCCCCATTCCTCCTTTGCCTCCTCTTCCCTTCCATTCCCCTTCCTCCCCTCTTCCCCATTCTTCGTTTCCCTCCTTCCCCCCCCCCCCCCCCCCCCGGTCCTCCCCTCCTCCCCACTCTCCTCCCCACGCTAGGGGACAAAAGGTGAATCAAATCGAGAACGTGCCTCGTGATCTAATGAGAATCAAATCTCGCCGCCGCCTCTCTTCTCAGCAGCAGCCATCCCAAAAGCCGCCTCACCACCACCACCACCACCCCCGCCGCCGCCGCCTCTCCTCGCTGGTAACCGTCTCAGAGGTGGCGGCGCTAGCAGGCAACCGCTCCTCCCCCTTCATCTGCTACCGCCACGCCTTGCTGGGTCTGCCTCCGGCCTTCTCCCCCGGCCCGCTGCTTCAGAGGCGGCCCCCGTTACTCCCCCCCCAGTCATTTCAGGCATTCAGGCAGCGCGCTCTAGCGCTTGCTGGGATCACAGTGGACAGGTGAGAGACGCATTATTCGCCCTCCCCTTCCTTCCTTCCCTCCTCCCCCTTCATCTGCTATCGCCACGCCTTCCTGGGTCTGCCTCCGGCCTTCTCCCCCGGCCCCCTGCTGCAGAGGCGCCCGCCTCTGCTGCCGGTCGAGTCATACCAAGAGTTCAGACGCCGCGCCCTGGCCCTTGCTGGGGTGACAGAGGACAGGTGAGAGAGACGCATGTTTACACCCAATCCCCCAAACCCTCAATCCTCCTTCCTTCACCAATCCCCGCTCCTCCCCCTTCGTCTGCCACGGCCACGCCTTCCTGGGTCTGCCTCCGGCCTTCTCCCCCGGCCCCCTGCTGCAGAGGCGCCCGCCTCTGCTGCCGGTCGAGTCATACCAAGAGTTCAGACGCCGCGCCCTGGCCCTTGCTGGGGTGACAGAGGACAGGTGAGAGAGACGCATGTTTACACCCAATCCCCCAAACCCCCAATCCTCCTTCCTTCACCAATCCCCGCTCCTCCCCCTTCGTCTGCCACGGCCACGCCTTCCTGGGTCTGCCTCCGGCCTTCTCCCCCGGCCCGCTGCTGCCTCTTCAGGCGTTCCATGAGTTCAGGCGACGGGCCTTGGCGTTTGCAGGAATTACAGAAGACACATTCTCTCCCACCCCCCTTCCATCCCCACCCCACCTCTTTTCCATTTCCTCCGCCCTTCCCTCCCGCAGCAATTTTCAACCACACAATTTCCCGCCCTCAACATCCTCACCGTCCTCTTTGCGATCTGCCTCGTCAGCACCACTCTCCACGTCAGCATCACTCTCCACGTCAGCACCCTCTGCAACTTCGTCATCATCATCTCCTCCTCGCTCCACGCGCCCTCTGATGGGCATCGTAGCTCGCGATAAGACTCGCCGCCTCTGTCACTTACCAGGTGAGTGAGACGACTTTTGAGGCGCCTCTGTCACTTACCAGGTGAGTGAGACGACTTTTGAGGCGCCTCTGTCACTTACCAGGTGAGTGAGACGACTTTTGAGGCGCCTCTGTCACTTACCAGGTGAGTGAGACGACTTTTGAGACGCCTCTGTCACTTACCAGGTGAGTGAGACGACTTTTGAGGCGCCTCTGTCACTTACCAGGTGAGTGAGACGACTTTTGAGGCGCCTCTGTCACTTACCGGGGTGGAGGAGGGGGGAGGACGGGGTGGAGGAGGGGGGAGAATGGGGTGGAGGAGGGGGGAGGGGAAAATTGCGGGTTGAGAGACGACTTTTGAGGCGCCTCTGTCAGTCGCCAGGTGAGGCTGACACATGAGGAGGGTGAATGGGGTGGAGGAGGGGGGAGGGGAAGGAGGAGGGAAGAAGGAAGGGTACCTTAAAAAAAAAGGGAAATCAGGGATGGGTTGAGATGGAAGAGAAGGCACGACTTGTTGCTGATTCTTTTCTCGTGGAACTCGGTATTCTGGCCATCTTGCTTAATAATCTCCCTCCCCATCCCCTCATTCCCCTTTATCCTCTCTGTTAGCAGATCTGGTAAGAGCAGCAGAGTCAGCAGGGTTCGAGGTGCGCGTGCTGCAGTTTGAAAAGTACGACGTGTGGCAGCAGATTCGTGAGGCACACCGACTGGATGTTCTGGCAGGCAGCCATGGTGAGCTTGTTTGGCAGTGAATGATCTCTAGTGACAGACTTGTCACTCCTGCCACTTGCTCTCCTGATTCCCCCCACAGGCCAGCTTGGCTGTGTGGGATGGGAGACATCCCTCCTGAGCAGGCCACATCCCTCTCTCCCTCACATGCCCGCCCTCCCTCCGTGCGCCCTTCCTGCCTCCCTCCCTTCCTCCTTCCCCCTCCCCTCCCTCGCTTTTTTCCTCCGGAGCAGGCATGAGTAACCTCATCTGGTTACCACCCCATGGTCAAGTCTTGGAGATATATCCTGCGCGCCCCACTCCCTTTCTCCTCCCTGCCCGCAACCTCAACCCCGCCTCTGACTATGGCCGCTGGATCATTCTTATGCGATATAGCGCCATGCCTCATACACCCTTGCTCCCTCCCCTCCTCCTCCCCAACCCCCTCAGGAGCAGGCATGAGTAACCTCATCTGGTTACCACCCCATGGTCAAGTCTTGGAGATCTATCCTGCGCGCCCCACTCCCTTCCTCCTCCCGGCCCGCAACCTCAACCCCGCTTCTGACTATGGCCGTTGGGCCAGCCTCTTTCGGGTCGATCATGCTGTTGCGCTGCAGTGCCCGTTGCAGGATGAACAGTGCCAGGTGGGCGAGCAGGTGGAGGATCAGGTGGGGGAACAGAGGGGAAGCGACATGGGGAATCAGGTGGATGAGGAGGAGGGAAATCAGGTGAATTCAGCAGAAGCTGAAGAGAGGTTTGTTGCAGCTTTAAATCCAGCAGGTTTCTCTGGGGAAGAGGAACCAGGCGACATTCTCAGCTTTGACATTCCAGTTGACATTGCCAGGCGACCTTCCCACACCAGCAGCAGCGGTACCAGCAGCCGTAGCAGCCAAAGCAGCAGCAGAAAAGGCCATAGCAGGACCAGTGGTGGGGCCAGCACAGGTTTGTATATTGATCTCGGGTTGTATACCTCACCGCTTGCAAGTGACAGGGATGGCAATGCTGATGCTGCTGGTGATGATGATTCAGACGAGACACAAGGGGTTGATACTAACACTCGCACTAGCACATATTCTCTTGCTCCTACGAATCTCCCTCCTCCCACTCCCAATTTTCGGCGTCTAGATCTTTTGGTTGGTGCGAGATCGTTTCGGGTGCTGGCTCTTCAAGCTTTCAAGCGATGGCAAGGAAAAAACAATGGGACTATTACTTAAAGATAACTATTGTTGGCATGCTATTATATAAAAAATGTTTTCTTTCTAGTGTATTAATATAGTGTATGATCAGAGATGTTTAGGTTGTGTATCTTGAAGGTTAAAGAGTTAAATGATTTCTATACAGCACACCACTTTTGTTGCGTCAAATGTATAGAGTCTGCCTTAAAGCGGAGCATTTCCACCCTATTACTTCCCCTTTTGGCTCCTGGATAATGCCGACCAGCGACTGTCAGCTATACAATTCTTACACAGTTTTCTCCCACAGTTCTTACAATTGACTGCCACTTTATGGCTGCCGTGCCGTCAACGCAGGCTGTTCTCGCCAAGCCGATCGCCATGACGGTTCGGATTGTCGCTTGATCGCCTTGTGCTTTCAGGCTGCTTTTATAATTTCTCTTTCCTTTATTTTTTCTACATTGGCTGGTTTTCCAACACAGCCATGGTAGGCCATACGATCCCTTCGCGGTCTCTCTTCAAGTCACGCGTACCGACTCTCGCGTGCTCCGTTATAGCGTCCATTGCCTGCTTCGCGTTAGTATCGACAGCTCAACAGGAGCCGTCGTCTAGTGCTCCGATAAGAGAAAAGCACCGTGGAGTCACTGCGATCGCCGAGGACATCAACGGTCAGAATCTTATCCCGATCTACCTGGACGGCTCAGATCCTTCCGTGATCGAGACCATCGCATCGGGCGGCTGCAAAGCCGGGAGATGCCCCGAGTTCCACATTTGCGAAGGAACCACTCCTTTCGGCAGCGGCTCGGGGAACTTCGCGCTCTGCGAAAGCAAACCGCTGATGACGTCAGCAGTGGAAAAGACGATTGAAAACATGGACTTTAATCTACTATCTGACGTCACCCCGGTGTCCAATTGCCTGGATGGTTCCGCCATTGAAAAGCTCCGCGCGGGGGGAGCTTCCGCCGCGCACCCCCCTTGGTTCCGCACATGCCCTCCGCAAAACCCTTCCGCCGATCCTTCCGCCGCTGGCGCAAGCTCCGCCGCCGCCGCCGCCGCTGGGGCTGCTGGGGGAAGCGGGAAGCTAGAGTCCTGCGTAGTGTCTCCTTATCCCGGCCACGTCATCATGCTCCGTGACGTGTACGTCGATCTGCACGGCCACGTGTTCAACAGCACGCACCGCTTCGTCTTCGGCGGGGGTCCACGGGGTTCCGACGTGTCCGGAAAACCAGGAGAGGGCGCCACGAGCGAGTTCTCTTATCCGAAGGGGACTACAGCGGTGGTATACGAGCACGTGTTGCATCTCTTTCCCCCCCATATAAGCACATCCGTGCACTCGCGCGCGCACGGGGAAGCAGCAGGCGCGGAAGGGGGGGAACGGGGGGAGGGGCGCGAGGCAAGGGGGGAGTCGGTGCGCGGACGAGCGGCAATCTATAGGTGGATGGTGGAGTGGCTGTTACCGGGGCTTATGGCGGTTCATGATGCCATGCCGAGTTTTGAACACTACCCCATGCTGCTGCCCTACTCGCAGGTACGTCCGTGCATGCATGCCTTGCCATGCCCTGTGCCATGCCATGCCATGCCATGCCCTGCCATGCCCTGCCATGCCTTGTCAGTAGTAATAGCAGTTGTACTTGCACATACATGCATGCAATGCCATGTGGGCCCAACTAAAGGGAGACACTTACATTGCGACGAGACACTTCCTCCCCCACTTCCTCCCCCACTTCCTCCCCCACCCCCACCCCTATCCCTATCCCCGTCTTTCCCAGTCCCTTCGCCTCATGAGCCACCAGCTATTTGGATTCGACCTTGCCTCGCGGGCATTGCACTCTTCCCCAAATTTTGGCCACGGGGGAGGAAACAGAGACGCCTTCACTCTCTAAACCCTTCCCTCCCACCCTTCCCCCGTCTCCCCCAGTCTCTTCGCATCATGAGCCATCAGCTATTTGGATTCGACCTTGCCTCGCGGTCACTGCACGCACCTCCCCAGTTCAGCCATGAGGGAGGAGGAGGGGACGGGGCGAGGGAGGCACACCCCCTTCTCATCCGCTTCACCTTCCCCCCAACAATACTCGCCCCTACCCCTCCCCTCCCACTCCCACCATCTCCCCCAGTCCCTTCGCATCATGAGCCATCAGCTATTTGGCTTTGACCTTGCCTCGCGGGCGCTGCACTCTCCCCCGAAGTTCGGCCATGGGGGAGGAGGAGGGGACGGGGCGAGGGAGACACACCCCCTTCTCATCCGCTTCACCTTCCCCCTCGCCCCTACCCCTCCCCCCCCCTCCCACCATCTCCTCCAGTCTCTTCGCATCATGAGCCATCAACTGTTTGGTTTCGACCTCGCCTCACGGGCGCTGCACGCACCCCCAAAGTTCGGCCCGGGGGGAGGGGACGGGGCGAGGGAGGCACACCCCCTCTTCGCTCACTTCCTCTTTGTTGTGAGCGCCCTGCCTCACCTCACGTTTTTTCCACTTCTCAAACCTCTCCTGCTCTTTCCACGTGCTTTTCGCCCAGCCACGCACGCCACGCCTTTGCTCGCTTGCTCTGGCGCGTTTCCTTTCTTTCCTTTCCTGGTATCGTTTGTTCGTCCTAGCCTCTGCCTTCTTTGGTTGGTATTGGTAGTATCGTCTCCTTCCTAACTCTCCCCTCCTTTCCACCCACCTTCCTCACCTTTTCCACCCACCTCCTCACCTTTTGCACCTTCCTCACCCTCGTGTAAAAATATGATTTTTGAGACGTCTCAAAAAAACTTCCTCACCCTCCTTTGCACGCTATTCCTGCCCTCCCCAGCACCCCTGCACCCTTCCTCCCCTCCTTCCTCCCCCTTTCTCCCAGCCTCCCTCCCCCTCCCTCACCTCTTTCTTCCCCTCATTAAGTCTTTCTGCTCTTTTCTCAGCTTCACACCACACCCTCCTCCCCTCTTCCACCTCGCCCCCTCCGTTCCGCTCCCCCGCTCCCCCCAGGCAGCCCTCATTCCTCTCCTGCGCCTCCCCCTCCCCCTCTCTCCTCCGCCTGGCCCGCGCCCGCCACTTCCTCCCCCCAGACGGCCTCCCCTCCTTCCTCCCCTCCTTCCTCCCCTCCTTCCTCCCCTCCTTCTTCCCCTCTTTATGTCTTTCTGCTCTTTCTGCTGCGTAACACCTTACTTACTCCCCTCCTCCCATGCGCTCCCCTCGTTCCCCCTCTCCCCCCCCCACCACCCCCACCCCCCCTCCCCCCAGGCAGCCCTCATTCCTCTCCTGCGCCTCCCCCTCCCCTTCCCTCCTCCGCCTGGCCCGCGCCCGCCACTTCCTCCCCCCGACGGCCTCCCCTCCTTCCTCCCCTCCTTCAAACCCTACTCCCCCCCGCCCCTCTTCCTGTCCGCGGATGGGCTATCCGCGGGGGGGGAGTGGCTGGTGGTGGTGGTGCGGACGGGGTTAGGGGGAGTGGGGGAGAGTGGGGGGGGAGGGGGGGGAGGGGGGGCAGTGGTGGAGGAGGAGGAGGAGATTGAGAGAGTGGTGGTGGGGAGGTTTGGGGCGGAGAGAGTGGAGAGCTATCAAGGTCACATGGGGATGGACGATGGTAAGATTCAACTTTATTTCACTTTATTGTGGTTTTGAGTTTTTGTGGGGATGGATGGAGGAGGAGGAGATTGAGTTGAGTCTCGAGGCGCCTCAAAACTCAACTCAATTCAAGGAGGAGGAGATTGAGAGGGTGGTGTGGTGGAGAGGTTTGGGGCGGAGAGAGTGGAGAGCTATCAGGGCCACATGGGGATGGATGACGGTCAGATTTGGTTTGATTCAATCTGAGTAAAATTTGAGATCGTTCATGTTATTCTCTGTAAAGTTTGGTAGGTGTACTCTTTATTAATTCCATTTTGGAGGCATTTGAACCCTCTTAATAAACCCTTCATTGCCAAACCCTTCCCTTTCACCCATCTCTTTCCCCCTTCTCCATCTCTCCCTCCCTCCCCCAATTTTGAGCCGACTCAAAACTAAACCCACCAGTCAAGAAGCTGTTCAATCGGGCTCGTCTGCTCATGGGCCCCTCAAGTCTCGCCCTCTCACGTCCTTGCCTCATCACATTGTTTCCCCGCTTTCCTTCCCCTCCATTCACCTCCCTCCCCCACCCACCCACCAGTCAAGAAGCTCTTCAATCGAGCTCGCCTTCTCATCGGCCCCCCCAGCCTCGCACTCTCCTGTTCTTTCCTGATCAGATTCTCTCCTCCCCTACTCACTCGTGTTGCTTCTTCTTCTCCTTCCCCTTCATCTCCCTCCCCCACCCACCCACCAGTCAAGAAGCTCTTCAATCGAGATCGCCTTCTCATCGGCCCCTCCAGCCTCCCTCTCTCCTCCTTTGTCTCCTCCCATGTATCTCCTCACCTGTGTCTCCTCCTCCCTCCCCCTCCTCCTCCCCTTCTTCTCTCCCCCCCCCCCCCCCACCCACACACCAGTGAAGAAGCTCTTCAATCGAGCTCGCCTTCTCATCGGCCCCTCCAGCCTCGCACTCTCCTCGCTCCTCTTTCTGCCTTTCAATGCGGCCCTGCTCGAGCTGCTTCCGCCTCCGCCGTTAAACACTTCTGTTCCTGCTGGTAATATCACCACTCATACCCCCTCCTCGCCCTCCTCCAGCCTCGCACTCTCCTCGCTCCTCTTCCTGCCCTTCAATGCTGTTCTGCTCGAGCTGCTGCCGCCCCCTGCTTTGAATACCACCTTTGCTCCTGCTGGTAAAGCCCTTCATATCCCACCAGTTATCGACTCTTTTTTGACTGCCCACTCCTCTCCTCGCTCCTCTTCCTGCCCTTCAATGCTGCTCTGCTCGAGCTGCTGCCGCCCCCTGCTTTGAATACCACCTCGCCTCCTACTGGTAAAGCCCTTCACATCCCACCAGTTATCGACTCTTTTTTGACTGCTCACTCCTCTCCTCGCTCCACTTCCTGCCCTTCAATGCGGCCCTGCTCGAACTGCTTCCGCCTGCTCGAGCTCCTGTCTCCTCTGCCGCTAAACACTTCTGCTCCTGCTGGTAATGCATTTACCCCTTCGACTGCTCACTCCTCTCCTTGCTCCTCCTCGCCCTCTCCTCCCTCCGCTTCCTCTCCTCCCTCCTCTCCTCTTCCTCTCCTCTTCGTCTCCTCGCTCCACTTCCTGCCCAATGCTGTTCTGCTCGAGCTGCTTCCTCCTCCCGCTCTCAACACCTCTGCTACTGCTGGTAAGGGCACCCACCGCTCACACTACCCCCAACCACCGCTTATCACATGTTGACTGCTGACTCCTCTCGCCCTCTCCTCCCTCCTCTTCCTCTTCCTCTCCTCCCTCCTTTTCCTCTCCTCCCTCCTCATCCTGCCCTTCAATGCTGTTCTTGTCGAGCTTCTTCCGCCCCTTGCTCTCAGCACTTTTGCTTCCGTTGGTAATGCAACCGCTCATAGTCCCAGTTTTCTGCCCCTTGTTATTTTTGAGACGTCTCAAAAATAACCTTTCTACACCTTGCTCTCAGCACTTTTGCTTCTGTTGGTAATGCAACCGCTCATAGTCCCAGTTTTCTGCCCCTGGTTATTTTTGAGACGTCTCAAAAATAACCTTTCTACACCTTGCTCTCAGCACTTTTGCTTCTGTTGGTAATGCAACCGCTCATAGTCCCAGTTTTCTGCCCCTGGTTATTTTTGAGACGTCTCAAAAATAACCTTTCTACACCTTGCTCTCAGCACTTATGCTTCTGTTGGTAGTGCACCCGCTCATCGTCCCAGTTTTCTGCCCCTGGTTGACTGCTGCCCTCTCTCCCCCCCTCTGGCCTTCTCTTCCCTCCTCGCCCGCACCCCCCTCCTCTTCTGCCCCCGTCTTGATTGACCATATTACACCAGGACCAGTTTTGGCAATGGACCCTGAAGGGTTTGGCAGCAGCAGCAGCAGCAGGGATCGTCTAGTATGCACCAGTGGTCCTTGCATTGCCTCAGCCACTTCTTTTTTCCCTGTTTTGCGTAACTCCCCGTTACACCATGTCACACCAGGCTCGGCAATCGACCCTGAGGGGTTTGGCACACTGGCAGCAGCAGCGGGCATTGTTCGGTATGCCGTGCCTTGCAATCCGTCCCTGAAGAGCCCTACTGGTGGTGCTGTGTCGACTGAAATACCACCTCTTTTTTCCCTGTTCCGTGTCTCGATTTACCAGGTTCGGCAATCGACCCTGAAGGGTTTGGCACGCTGGCAGCAGCAGCAGGGATTGTTCGGTATGCCGTGCCTTGTGATCCTGGAGTGGTGGGTGCTGCTAATGCCGTAGCAGCAGCAGCAGCAGGAGGAGGAGGAGGAGGAGGAGGAGGAGGAGGAGGAGGAGGAGGAGGAGGAGGAGGAGGAGGAGGAGGAGGAGGAGGAGGAGGAGGAGGAGGAGGAGGAGGAGGAGGAGGAGGAGGAGGAGGAGGAGGAGGAGGAGGGGGGAGGGGGGAGGCAGGGGCAGGAGCAGCAGCAGAAACAGCAGGAGCAGCAGGAACAGCAGGAGCGTCGGGCAGCATGTCTTGTAGGCTTCAACTGGTGGAGGCGGCACTTGATGAGATCATGAGCGCACACTTCAGCGATGTCAAACGGTCAGGAGGGGTGGACGGCGGTGCAGGAGGAGGAACGGGAGGAGCTGCTACTGCCTCTTCTTCTGCCTCCTCTGCAATATCATCCCCTTCCCCATCCCCACAACCGTCATCACCAGCAGCAACAGTAGCAGCACCGCCACCACCGCCACCATCACAACCACCACCATCACCACCACCAGCAGCAGCAGCACCAGCAGCACCACCTGCAGTGGTTGTCACCCACCCGACCCGCAGCTCCCCTGGTTCAGAGAAGGACGAAGGGCCTCAACCCTCCCCTTGGTACGAGCTAAACGAGCAGCAGTGGGACGAGCACAGGGAGAAGATTGCAGCAGCAGAGGGGGGCGCAGGGGCGTTTGAGACGCGGCTGTTTAACCTCACGGTGCCGCCTGAAAAGGACGAGACAGAGGACGGGGCAGGGGGAGGAGGGGAAAGAGGAGAAGGAGCAAGAGGGGGTGTGAGTGAGGAGGGGAGTGGGAACCAGACAACAGCGGGAAAGTCCCGTTCTCCTCCTCTGTTTCCGGATTACTCGGATCATATCCCAGGCACTCGCTTGCACACCAAGCGCCAAGTGCTGCTTTTCAACAAGTGGATGGAGTGTGTGTTGAGGGAGGGGCGGTGGGTGTTTAATGCCACGCCTCGCACTCTACCCTGGGAATACACGGGTTTTATGAACATGTGCGATCATAAGCAGGTGGAGAAGCGGAAGGGGAAGGCGGCCTGGGGTGCAGATGAGCTAGTGCTGAAAGGGACGAGTCCGGATAAGTGGACGGTAAGAGAAACTCTTAAGTATGAGTTTTTGGTTCCTGAGGATAAGTGTGGGTCTGCGGCTCTTAAGAAAGTAGTGGATGCAGAGTTAGGTCCGGAAGCTGCTTCTGCTGGTGGTGCTGCTGGGGAAAACCGGGCAGAAGATACAAATGAGGAGGTTCCTGTGTGGAAAAGATTTGACGGGCTGGATTTCTGCAAGCGGGCAGCTCGGGCAGCCGAAACAAGGCGTGACAGGCTCTGGAGCAACGACTCGTCCTTGGTAGCAGCAGCAGCGGGAGGAGGAGGAGGAGGAGGAGGAGGAGAGAGATGGATGGATGATCCTCGGAGAATGCACAAGGGATTCACAGTCTACATAGTAGGAGACTCCCTCCAAAACCTATTCGCAGCCACGTTCCTCAACCACATGTTGTGGCACGTGAAGAAGAGTGCGGCGTGGGCTTTAAACCGCACGATCTGCTATCAGTGGGTGGAGCATAAACCGCACGTACACTGCCATATGAACTTCTTCAACACCTCGCAGGACGTTTGCCCAGGGGCGTTTGCCGAGAATCCTGCTGCTGCTGGTGGCGGTGGCAGTGGTGGTAGTGATGCTGGCACGAACGGCAGCAGCAGCAGCGACGCGGGTGCGTTCGCCATGCATTTCACCTCCAACCGCTGGCTCACAGTGGGAGACACCTTCGTCGCCAAAGAAAGCGTTCCCTGGTCCCAACACGGTGCCTTAGTCGACTCAGACGTGCTTCTGATTAATAGAGGAGCACATTATACTGATGATGAGGCTTACGTGAGGGACGTGCGGCGCGCGCTGCGATTCGTCCGGAGGAATTTTCCGGATAAGTTGATTATCTACAGGAACACTCCGCCGGGGCATTTCAATTGTACGGAGAATCTGGGGCCGTTGATGGAACGACAGCCGAAGGAGATTTTGCCGTTTAATTGGGGCGGGTTTATGCGGCAAAATGAGCTGGCGAGACGGTTGGTGGCGGAAGTGGGAGGGATTTATATGGATGTGGAGGGGGGTATGGCTTTAAGGCCGGATGGGCATACCAGCTGGTTTGAAGAAACGCCTCGGGATTGCCTGCATTACTGTACTCCAGGGCCCATGGATTTTTACGCGCAATTTGTTTACAACATATTGCTGCATACTGTTCTGTAAGGTTGATATTGTGGTGTAGACATTTCCCTTTATTCAAATTACCGGTATAGGTTGGGAGCCGATTACCATGCAAGCAAGTGCTTTGGTGGTTTGGTTTCTTGGTTGAAGATAGCCTGACCTGACTTGCTGGCAATTGAAAGCAGCCGTGGTAAAAGGCAAGGAGACCAGCCAGGACAGGAGCATGGACAAGTCACCCTCACAAGACATCATGGGAATGGGACTTATGTCTCTGCATCAGCTTGATATAGTGACCAATAGCGTTGTACAGGAAACAGTCTGTTACCATGTGTTATGGAGGTCCGACTCTCTCGAGCTTGTCTAGTGACTCAGCTGGTAACCACTTGAAGGATTCAGGGGGAAAAATTCCCCCAGCACAGAAAAATGCGCAATCTGGCTGTTTCTTCTCCCTGTCAGGGTCGCTGCATGTGACTGATGCCGGGTCCTTCTCCACCCCTGTTGCTGCCACGATGCTGCCAATGAGGGGATTGGGGAGGGGAAGGGGTAGTGTTGATTTTCGAAAGGGTTTGCCTGTTCACTATGGCTGCTTCTCTGCTTCTTCTCCCTGTCAGGATCGCTACATGTGACTGATGCCGGGTCCTTCTCCACCCCTGTTGCTGCCACGATGCTGCGATGGAGGGGAGGGGGAGGAGTGGGAGGAGGGGAAGAAAGGGAAGCAATGGTGGAAGGAGTGTTGGGACTGGCGATAGTGTTGCCTGCTGCTTCTCCCTGTCAGGGTCGCTGCATGAGACTGATGCTGGGTCCTTCTCCACCCCTGATGCTGCCACGATGCTGCGATGGGGGATGACGTGTGGAAGGGAAGAAAATAATCGTAAGGAGGACTCTTCTTCCCCCTATCCCTCTTGACCCACGACTCAGCTGAGCAGGCAGGGAGACTCTCTCGAGTTCAGCCAAAACGTCTCTCGGGAGCCAAAACGTCTCAGGGTACGGCATGTGTACCAAGACACCTTGGTACGGCATGTGTACCAAGACACCTTGGTACCAAAGCGTCTTGGTACTAGACAAGAAGCAGAACCCAGTACTGCATGTGCCCATGCCACGTGCACCACAAACACACACACACACAGAGTACTACTCTCCCTCCCTCCCTTCCCTCTCTTTGATACTCATGGCTTCAAGCATAGCTGAGTGGGTTTCGATACCCTTTCTGGGTCAGCCATAACGTCCTGGTATTTCACAAGAAGCAGAGCCCAGTACAGCATGCGCCCATGCCACCACCCACTCACCCCCACACACATACACATAACATACCGACCTTACAACTCTCCCTTCATCCCTTTGATACTCACGGTTTAGAGCACAACTGAGTTTTGAGACGTCTCAAAACTTACTCACGGTTTAGAGCACAACTGAGTAGGCTGAGACACCCTTTCAGGCTCAGCCATAACGTCCTGGTATTTCACAAGAAGCAGAGCCCAGTACAGCATGAGCCTGTGCCGCCACCCAGCCACACACACACACCCTACTCCTCTCCCTAGCTCCCTTCCCTCCCTCTAATACTCACGCCTTAGAGCACAGCTGGGACGGCTGCGAAACCCTTTCAGGCTCAGCCATAACGTCCTGGTATTTCACAAGAAGCAGAGCCCAGTACAGCATGCGCCTGTGCCACCACCCAGCCACACACACACACCCTACTCCTCTCCCTAGCTCCCTTCCCTCCCTCTAATACTCACGCCTTAGAGCACAGCTGGGACGGCTGCGAAACCCTTTCAGGCTCAGCCATAACGTCCTGGTATTTCACGAGAAGCAGAGCCCAGTACAGCATGAGCCTGTGCCACCACCCAGCCACACACACACACCCTACTCCTCTCCCTAGCTCCCTTCCCTCCCTCTAATACTCACGCCTTAGAGCACAGCTGGGATGGCTGCGAAACCCTTTCAGGCTCAGCCATAACGTCCTGGTATTTCACGAGAAGCAGAGCCCAGTACAGCATGAGCCTGTGCCACCACCCAGCCACACACACACACCCTACTCCTCTCCCTAGCTCCCTTCCCTCCCTCTAATACTCACAGCTTAGAGCACAGCTGAAACGGCTGCGAAACCCTTTCAGGCCCAGCCATATCATCCTGATATTTCACAAGCAACAGAGCCCAGTACAGCATGCGCCCGTGCCACGTGCACCACACACATACCTTCTTACCACGCTCCCTTCCTCCCTACTTACGGCTTGGAACACAGCTGGGCAGGCTGAGCCACCCTCTCGGGTTCAGCCATAACGTCTTGGTATTTCACCAGAAGCAGAGCCCAGTACAGCATGCGCCCGTGCCATGTGCACGCGTGGTCGACAAACCATCCTCAGCACCACTACCCGTACACACCCGACCATTCTTCCCTCTCTTCCCTCTCTCCCCTCCCTTCTGTCCCTCCCTACTCACGGTTTAGCACACAGCTCGGTAGGCTTTGATACACTTTCAGGCTCAGCCATAACGTCCTGGTATTTCACGAGAAGCAGAGCCCAGTACAGCATGCGCCCGTGCCACGTGCACGCGTGGTCCGCAAACCGATTCGCTGCCTCCACCATCCGCAGCACCGCCTTGTCGTGCTGCTGCGCCCAGGTGATTGCCTCGTGCAGGTCTGAGAAGCTGAAGGGATCAGAGTGGTTGCAAAGGGTTTCAAAGGGGTTCATTGGAGGAGTGCGTAAAGCTGCCTCCACCATTCTCAGCAGCGCCTTGTCGTGCTGTTGCGCCCAGGTGATTGCCTCGTGCAGGTCTAAGAAGCTGGAGGGAGGGATTACAAATGGTTTCAAAGGGTTTCAGAGGATTGCATGGGGGAGATAAGGGGACAGAGGAGAGTGGGATAACCTGCTTCCACCATCATCAGGACCGCCTTGTCGTGTGATTGAGCCCATGTGATTGCCTCGTGCAGGTCTGAGAAGCTGGAAGAAGGGGTATGTGGGTGGAAGAGAGAAATTGAAGGGGGTGGGTTGGGCTGCTTCCATCATCTTTAGCACTGTCTTGTTATGTGATTGAACCCAGGTGATGGCCTCAAGCAGGTCTGAGAAGCTGAGGGAGGGTTTAGCACGGTTGCAAAGAGATTTCAAGGTTTACAAAGGGGCACATTGGACATTGGAGGAAGGAAGGCATATAAGAGAGGGGGACAGGAGTGGGTTGAGATGCCTCCACCATCCTCAGCACCGCCTTGTCATGTGATTGAGCCCATGTGATGGCCTCATGCAGGTCTGAGAAGCTGATAGTGGGAGGGGAGCAAGGGGTTGCAGAGGGGTGAAGTGTACAAAGAGTTGATGGCCTCGTGAAGGCCTGAGAGACAGTAAGGGTTCTGAAGAATTCCAAGATGTTCACACAGGGGGGATGGACGAGAGAAGAGAGTGGGATGATTTGCAAGACAGAGACAAGTGATGGGCTGCAACAACACGCCAGACTGACTCTCGTTTGGGAGGATACGAAAAAGAGACTCACGTTCGGGAGGTGACGAGCCAGTGCACCCGATCCTGCAGCAGAGGCTCGTAGAACTGCAGCATGGGCGTGTGCTGCCTTATGATGAGCTGGTTGGATCGCAGCACCCCACACGTGCGACAACTGCCTCCCCCCCCGTCCGCCACGATCTGCCATTGATGAGAGAAGTGGATAAGAGTAGTGGAAAGGGGTAAGGGAAGCGAGGAGGCTGGTGGAAGGTAACTGCAGCATGGGCGTGTGTTGCCTTATGATGAGCTGATGGATCGCAGCACGCCACACGTGCGACAACTGCCTCCCCCCCATCCGCCACTATCTGAGGAAAGGGAGGCACCGGAAGAAAGGAAGGGGAATGTAGGGAACAGGGGAGAGGAAGCGGCGGAGAAGTGAGCATAGCACTCGACAGGTGCGAGAGAAAAGCCACACTCTGAGGGAAAGAGGGATAAGGGAAGAATGGGGAAAGGAGTGGGGCTGTTGGAATTGCAGGATCTTTGAGTCGACTAAAAAATGTCGTGTGCCATAGTAACGAGGTGACTTTTGAGTCGACTCAGGAGTGGGGCTGTTGGAATTGCAGGACTTTTGAGACGTCTCAAAAGGCTGGCTGGAGGAAGTGCAGCATGGGTGTGTGCTGGCGGATGAGAATAGGGAAGAGACACACATGCACGGAAGGAGAGGGAAGAATAGGGAGCGTGCAGGACGAGAACGAAGACCAAAGACACACATGAACTTATGCCCACACCCATGCACACACCCACAAACAAACCCACCTGGTACTTGAACGCGTTGAACTGCTGGAAGCTCATCTTCCTGACGAGGAGGGGGAGGTAGCAAAGGTTACCCAGCGAACAAGCTGGATGGCGTGAATGCACCGACACATGCACACATGCACACGTCCATGCTCGTACCCACCTGGTACTTGAACGCGTTGAACTGCTGGAAGCTCATCTTCCTCGTGACCCGCACGCCGTCCTTCATTATCCTCGTCACCACATGCTGCTCCACCTTGGGCCACGCGTTGATCCATATGCTACTCCGAGGAGAGGGCGGTAGAAGGTGAAAGAGGGTGGTTGTACGTGCACTCACACCCACCCACCTGGTACTTGAACGCGTTGAACTGCTGGAAATTCATCTTCCTCGCGAGCCGCACGCCGTCCTTTATTATCCGTTTAATCACATGCTGCTCCACCTTGGACCATGCGTTGATTTGTGCGTCCATGAGGTGGGGCGCCGCGGGAGACATCAAATGCAGGCGGATGCGGGGGTTTGCGCCCCAGTTGCCTGCTGGTAGCAGCTCGTAGTTGGTTGTTTTGCCTCTGAAAACCGCCCGTGCTTCCTTCTTCTCCCAGGGAATCTGCGACAAGAAGGGAAGGCAGGAGGGGGGTTGTTTTGAGGCAGGGGACATCAAATGCATGCGGGGGTTTGCGCCCCAGTTGCCTGCTGGTAGCAGCTCGTAGTTGGTGGTCTTCCCTCGGAACACTGCCCGTGACTCTTTCTTCTCCCAGGGAATCTGACGGAAGGAAGACAGATGGAAAGGGATCAGAAGGTGGAGGGTGGAAGGGAAACCATGCGTTGAGTCGGTTTTTGAGTCGACTCAAAAACTGACTCACCACACCCAGGTAACTCAAAAACAGGAAGACAGATGGAAAGGGATCAGAGGGTGGAGGGTGGAAGGGACACCATGCGGTGGCCCCCCAGTTGCCGGCAGGAAGCAGCTCGTAGTTGGTTTTCTTGCCTCAGAACACTGCTCGTGACTCTTTTTTCTCCGAGGGAAATCTGGGGGAAATGGGACACTGGAAGGAGACGGAGGGTGGGGGTGTGCGGGGGGGCGAAGGGGGAGTTGGGGTTGTAGAGAGAGGGTTGGGCACAGGGATGCCGATGGTGTCTGCTGTGAAGGGAGAGGGTTGTAGGGAGAGGGTTGGGCACAGGGATGCCAATGGTGTCTGCTGTGAAGCCCGTGCTCATGAAGGGCAGCCCGCCCCTGCTGGGCAGCATCTCCGCAATAACAACCACCCTACACCCACCCTACACCCACCCACCCACACTACATGTGTGCTTGCATTCCTGAGTGCTGAGGTCAGGATCGTAGGGCCCTGTAAGGTCAAGCGGGTCCGGTACAGGGATGCCGATGGTATCTGCTGAGAAGCCCGCGCTCATGAAGGCAGCCCGCCCCTGCTGGGCAGTGAGAGCTGTGGACACTCCCCCACCCCCCACCCACCCACACGCATGCGTGCTTGCATACCTGAGTGGAGAGGTCAGGCGTGTAGGGCCCTGTCAAGTCAAGCGGGTCTGGGACAGGAATGTCAATCGTATCTGCGGTGAATCCCGTGCTCATGAAGGACAGCCCGCCCCTTTCGGGCAGCAAGACATGCAATAACAACCACCCCACCCACCCCATGCACCCGCATATGGGCATACCTGAGTGGAGAGGTCCGGCGTGTAAGGCCCTGTCAAGTCAAGCGGGTCTGGGACAGGGATGTCGATGGTATCTGCTGTGAAGCCCGCGCTCATGAAGGCAGCCCACCCCTGTTGGGCCAGTGCGATCTGTGAACACTCCCCCACCCACCCATCCCATCCACCCACGTGTGCGCTCGCATACCTGAGTGCTGAGGTCAGGAGTGTAGGGCCCTGTGAGGTCCAGTGGGTCAGGAACAGGGATGTCGATGGTATCTGCTGTGAAGCCGGTGCTCATGAAGGGCAGCCCGCCCCTGTTGGGCCAGTGCGAGCTGTGGAACGACATGGGGTGGTCGCACGTGTTGAGGAAGAACTCGAGACGCAGGGAGGAGAGGGCATAGCGCGTCACTGCGTCCTGCAGTGGAGGAGGGAAGGAAGTGGAGGAGGGAGGGCAAGGAGGAATGCGCGCAGAGGGAAGGGGCATGGGATGATGGCATGTGGATGGTGTGAGTGAGCTGTGGAACGGCATGGGGTGGTCGCACGCACGTGGTGAGGAAGAACTCAAGACGAAGAGCAGCTAGGCCATAGTGTGTCACTGAGTCCTGGAGAGGGGGAGGGGAGTGCAGGAGGGAGGGCATAGGGGAATGCAGGCAGAGGATGAGCTGTGGAGGGGTGGTCGCTCGCACGTGTGAGGAAGAAGCCGGGAGGGCAGGAGGGGGGACAGGAGGTGAGGGGACGACAGGGAGAACAGGTGTTCACGCACCTGCCTAGCACCCCTTGACTGGCGTTGACTCACCTGCAGCATCTTGATTGTTTGGAGGAACCTTCCAAGGCGGTAGTAACGGTTCCAAAAGCCACCGTAACGGAAGTACACTTTGCCGTCAATAACCTGCCATGATAAAAAATGACAATAACGAATAACAATTGCACCCTCACTTCTTTAGTTTCGTGAAGTGTTGGAGGGCCCAAACACAAGGTTCAATAAGCTTGCGTTGCTAGAAGGGAAAGAAAACCACTCAAAAACATTCAAGCCATACAAAGGCGCGCATTTACTTTGATATGTCCGGAGCAGGACATCAGGTTCGGAGAAATGCTGATGAATTCGAGTGCCTCGGGCGTCACGAAACCTCTGTGCCCCAGACCGGAGGTGATGTTCTGAAGCATGCGAGAAGATGGAAGGAGCAAGTGAAAAGGATGTAAACATTTACAACTGAATTTAATTGTCTCAGGAGTCACAAAGCCTCTGTGCCAGACCAGTGCTGATGGTCTGCTGATGTGTGAGACGCGAGTTGGCCAGCCAGGATATGCAATGCACAGCACAGGAAAAGGAATTCAATGAAATGTTGATGAATTGGAGTGCTTCAGGCATGGCATGACATGCATGGTATTGATATATGCCATGGGGAATGCCGTCAGTCGCACTCACAACGATGTGAAATGAGGGTGTTTTTGAGACGTCTCAAATAGACATGCATGGTAATGATATGTGCCATGGGGAAAGCAATCAGTTGCACTCACAACGATGGGTCGCCATGGCTCCAGATACCGGTGAATAAGCTTCAAGTAATTCATCGCTCCTGGCTGCTTTAGAGCCTCCTTCAGCTTGGGAAACTCCGGAATGCGCCCCAACAAATCCTTCTCCACCGATTTAAACACCCCTGGAGGCATTTCACATACTCTATGTCTTGTCCGAGATCCTGCTCCCCCCTTCTCTCCACCATCCCCTGTCCCATCATCTCCTAGTGCCGCTATCCCTCCGCTCAGCTTCTTAACTTCGATCCAAACATCCAAACCCGCGAGTAGTCCCACTAAAGCCAGTCCCGTTATAAGCACAACGATGGCTGACCCTTGATCTCTGTTCAAATGCGGGCAGCAGGAGCAGACACGCCATCGGGATCTCCTCCCACCACCATCTCCACTTGCGATATTAGCAACCCCAGTCTTATGCAATAAGGGTTTTGAAACAGACGCTTTATTAGCAGTCCCGCTAACATGGCGTGCTCCAAGCGTACTGTATGAACCTTTTCCGTCAGGAGAAGTGCTCCGGCTGCGAGCAGTCACGGAGTCAACATTTTCAGGGCTTCTAGGATTTGGGGAACGAGAATTTCGTTCAGCGGACGAATGTGCATCAGGTTGTGCATTAAGCGCGTCACGAACATGCCTAAGACGCGGATGGCCGTGATCAATTTCGTCACTATTCGCATTTAACCGCTCGAAAGTGTCACATGTCACCCCGGCGAGCTCAGCTGTGTTAGAGGCCGACGCGTCTGGCCGGGACAATCCACTCGTCACCGTCGGATGCGGATGGGATCGACGGTGAGGACCTGCCACAAATTTCTGTCCAAACAGCATATCGCTCCGTAGTGTGGCGGAACAGCGAGGCGTCCTTCGCCACGGGAAAAGCGTAACGTTCACCCGATCCTCGTTAGTGAAATTCAATCGGGTCGGCCAATTCAGGCCCAGGTATGAAATTGGTATGCCGTGTCCTGTTTCCGATCATAGAAATCCTCACTAAGTTCGGTCACCAGGATGAGCGATCATCCATTCGTTTCGCTGCTGCAGATTCCCATCATCCTAACTCACTAATGTATGTCTTTCGTCCTGCAGAATCATCAGAAAAAAGAGATGCTGGATTTGGCTCAGAGGGGTAGTTCTGCCGACAACATCAAGGCCACTGTGCTGGTCAGTTTGGCCCTCGAGATCTCCCGAACTCACGAAGGCCCGATTCGCGAAATGCGATTTCGTTGAGACAGAGCTGACGAACCAGAACAGGGACGGTTGAGCTAGTTTCACGAAGGTCACGAGTCCTCACCGAATAAAAATAGTTCGGCTATGGTTACTGTGTCGGTCTGCAGCCAGTGGCACTCGAGCCTGCCCGCTTGCAGCCACACGGGGCTCCAGCTGCTTGTTGTGCCAAACCTAGAACCTGTAGGTCGGGACAGACATCACGTTCCCTCGGACGCAGACGACTAGCCCCATCAGGACGTGTCTCAAACGTGCGGATCCGCGTGGGTCCGACGCGGATTCGGCGGACCAGCTCGATGACCGTCGCGTGAACCAGCGACGGACTGGACCGAGGTCTGGGGCATTTACCCCGATAAAATGTTCGAATGGCACTACAACGGTGCCAGTGAATTATTGATCGCCAGACCAGCCCGCGCCTGGTCCGTAACTGTAGCAGTTCCCACTCTGATTGCGAAACTTTTTGCACTCGTTGATTTTGTGAAAGCCATGCTCCACACCACACTCCTTCGGTGTATAAGATGCTTCCCTGCTCTGTTTCCGCAATCGGCGCTTGACGGAACTGTCGGGGGCTTAGGATACGTTTTACGTTGTAGGCTGGAGAATCTGTCGGTCCACCATTACACTCCGCGTGTACGCTTCACTGAGTCAGTGAAGTTGCGCTCGCACGCAGGCGGTCTACGGTTAGGAATTCGCGATGTGTGCTATATCGTGCGGTTGTCGCAGGGACAGGCAACTGACGAGTCATAAAACGTATTCCGACAGCTAGAATCTCTTATTAGACGTTTTAGCATGCACCTACTAAGCGTTTGAAGAGTCAGTAGACTATCCCCGACGGCAGGAAAAGGCATTCGACGAGTGGGAATATTTCCGACAGCTGGAGGTTTCGCGAACAGGCGGTGTTAACAGCGCAGCACTATATGGTGTAGAACGCTGTAGCTCCAGTCGGAACTAAGCGTCAACTGTTGACCGTTACTAGCCGACCGTCCGAATTTGATTGTTAATAACTGACTGTCAGCTGCCGATTGTCACGCTACCAGCAACAGCTGACCTCCGACAAAATCGGGAATCACAAAACCGCAGTATCCTTCCGGCGGTGTCCCTAGTCATTGCATGACGCTCGAGTCGCGTGAAAGTAGACGTTGGTTGTTTTTTAGGCGAGCCAGAAGTTAAGCACAGACCACTAAGCTGACTGTAGTCTGTAGGGTCTCCTGAATTAGGGCAAATAATGGCCGGCCTCGTTTGTCCTGTGTGCGAGGGGGTCAACCTGCCGTCGCTCTGCTGTGACTGCGTGGATCGCATGTAAGTGAGAGGGTGCGGTGGCAAGGGGTGAAGAGGAGTGGTGATGGAAAATTTCGAGTCAAGTCGCGACTCGCAACTTGCGAGACAAGGAGGGATCTGAAGACCTCATGTATCTGTGCTCATGCCTTGTTAAGATTTCTGTTTTAACTCCGATGCTTTTAAAGACTTGATGTTCATTTGAATGCACTTTTTCTGCTCCTTCCCTTCTCATCATCCCTAACTTCTATCAGCCAGCACGTCCAACGGCAGCACCTGGATCGTCTCAGGTACCACAGAAACCACCTGAAGAATCTCCTGACAGCAGCGCTGGAGTGCCAGGTTGGTTTTCTGTGGGAGGGACGGCCGAGGGGAGTAGATTATTGAAACGAGTGGTTGTGAAGACTTATTGAGAAGCGGAAATGTCTGTGTCTTTTCGTTTGATCGAAACGTTTGTTGGTCTTTGAATATTCGTTTCTGTGTTAACCTGTGTGTCAACGGTGTGTTACCTGTGGGTGTTTCACTATCAGGGTGGGAAGCATCAGTGGGAGGGGCGGCGGAGAGAGGTGGAAGAGCGATGCGAGACGTTGCGGAAAGAAAATGCGTTGAAACGAGCTCAAGTTTCAGAAGGTGAGTGGGGGGAAGAAGGGGGGACAGTGGAGAGGGAAGGGTAACATATTTTGTGAGGAAGATATTTTTTTCAGTCTAGAGAAAGTGGTTGCAAGTTGCAATCCCACCCCCACACCCACTTCCTTGCTGCATCCGTCCCACTCAAATCTGAAACTTCTCGCAAGCTCGAACAAGCCTGGAGACACACAAACTCCAATCCGTTCGTCAGTTTTCAGTCGCCCATTTTTTTAATCCGCCCCACCCGGAACCTCTGGTTGAACCTCTTTACAGATCGGATGAGGTTGGGGCAGCTTCGCCTTCAGCTCAACTCAAAGCGGTCGCTTCTCGCACATGCCAACGCCGTGGTGAGTGGGATGGATGTGATGGTCGTTGCTCATCAAGTAGAAGCTCTTGGAGATTTCAGTCACTTCCGTATTAGATGGCGGATGGATGGCCACAGGGATATCGATGGCAAATTCTCTGTTTGTGATAAGTGGATTTTTTAGTCGACTCAGATAGCCGTGTGTGATAAGTCGATTTTTGAGTCGACTCAAGAATGTGTGATAAGTCGATTTTTTATTCGACTCAAAAATGTGTGATAAGCCGATTTTTGGGTCGAGTAAAAAATGGCCACAGGGATATCGATGGCAAATTCTCTGTTTCCCTCTCTCGTACTATCTGTTTCTCCCCTCTCCCCCCTCTTTCCTACAGCTGGCCATGCACAGAGCAGCAAGGGCAGTTGGAGGAGCCGCAGGGGTGTTGATGAGATTTCCTCTATTCCCCCCTCTTTCGGCTTCTATTTTCTTCTTTCACCCCGCCCTCTCCCTGCTCTCTCCCCCTCTTCCCTACAGCTGGCCATGCGCAGAGCAGTGTTGTCTCACGCAGGAGCAGCAGCAAGGGCGGGAGGAGAAGCCGCAGGGTTTTCGGCCGACGGCAAATCCTCTATTCCGCTCTCTCTCTTACCCCTCAGTTTTCCATCTCTCCCCCTCTTCCCTACAGCTGGCCATGCGCAGAGCAGCATTGTCTCACGCAGGAGCAGCAGCAAGGGCGGGTGGGGCACCCACAGGGTCACAGATAGGAGGAGACGGTGGAGCGTTGGGAGTAGATAGTACGAGCAGGATGGGACCTTCGGAACTGGGAGGGATGGGAGGGACAGGCAGAACGGAGCTAGGAGGCAATCGGACCGACTTGCATTATGCTCTGGGCAACTTACAGGCACGTACCTACCTGGGCTGAATGGGGAATTATGTGTGTGATGATTTATATATGCAGATGTATAGAGGAATGTTATGCATGCATGTGTGCGATGTAGATGGCACGTGGTGGATGACTGATGTGCGGCGAGGTTTGGTTTTCTCACCGATGTTTTCCCGCATGTACGTGTGTGTTTGTGTGTGTGTGTGTGTGTGTGTGTGTGTGTGCGTGCGTGCGTGCGTGCGTGCGTGCGTGCGTGCGTGCGTGCGTGCGTGCGTGCGTGCGTGCGTGCGTGCGTGCGTGCGTGCGTGCGTGCGTGCGTGCGTGCGTGCGTGCGTGTGAGAGCAGAAGATAGTGCAGGGTGCACTAAGAGCAGACCAGCAGCTGTGCCTAAAGAGGCTTCGAGGCATCTTCCCTTTCAAAAAGGTGCATGCACCTTACCTCTTCTTACCTCTTCTTTTGAGTTGACTCAAAAGATGCATGCACCTTACCTCTTCTTACCTCTTCTTTTGAGTTGACTCAAAAGGTGCATGCACCTTACCTCTTCTTACCTCTGCTTGCCTGGCCCCTCCCCTGCCTTTCCCTCTGCCTAACCCCTTTCTTCAAGAGTCTTGCAGTTGCTACCTAAGCGCGTGCATCCTGTTTTACCAACCCCTTTTTTCCTCACTATCTACCAATCTGTTTCAGGTTCCCCTGTCACACAACCCATCAGCAAACACCACATTAGCCCCCACGCCTCCCCTTACCACCACCACCCCTGCCACTTCAGCTCTTCACATGCCATCCCAATCTCCTCTCCACTCCTCCCCTCCTCCCATCTCCTCCTCCTCCCCTCCCCGCTTCTCCTCCTCTCCTCCCCTCCCTGATCCTGGAGATTTCACTCTCTCTATCTGCGGCCTCCGCCTGCCCTCCTCTGATGCCCACATCTCGTTAATCCCTCCCTTGGAGCTCGCTGCTGCAATAGGGTGAGTGAGGCTGTGTACTTCACATTCCCCTCCTCCGCACTTCTCCTCCTCTCCTCCCCTCCCTGATCCTGGAGATTTCACTCTTTCCATCTGCGGCCTCCGCCTCCCCTCCTCCGATGCTCACATCCCGCTCATCCCCCCTTTGGAGCTCGCTGCTGCTTTAGGGTGAGTTTGCCCTAGAATGAGTCCCCTCCTCTTTTCCCCATCCCTCCTTCCATCCCTCCTTGTCTCTCCTCCGCCTCCCCTCCTCTGATGCTCACATCCCGCTCATCCCCCCTTTGGAGCTCGCTGCTGCTTTAGGGTGAGTTTGCCCTAGAATGAGTCCCCTCCTCTTTTCCCCATCCCTCCTTCCATCCCTCCTTGCCTCTCCTCCGCCTGCCCTCCTCTGATGCTCACATCCCGCCCATCCCCCCTTTGGAGCTCGCTGCTGCTTTGGGGTGAGTTTGCCCTAGAAGGAGTCCCCTCCCTTTCTTGCCTTCCTGCCAACCCCCTCCTCCTTTGCCTTTCCTGACTCCCTGATTCGTGTCTTCACTTCAACCTGCTTTTCGAATATGTTTCTGTGTTTCACTAGCGCCTTAGGTATCTTTCATAACTTCTATCCCCCACCCACCCCGTCCCGCCCCACCCTATTCCATCGTGCCCCACCGCACACCACCACTCCAGCTGCTTGATTCGTCTCCTGGACCTGCTCTCCAAGTATCTCTCCTTCCCTCTCCTGCATGTCGCTGCCTTCGCTGTGAGTAACTTTTCTCTCAGTGGCCTGAGTTGACTTGCGTTGACTTGTGCTGACTGGCTTTGACCTGCTCTCCAAATATCTCTCCTTCCCTCTCCAACGTGTTGCACCAAGAGTCTTTCTGGACGGACCCTCAATCCTCCTTCCTCCCTCCATTTGTTGGTCTGCATTGACTTGCATTTGTTTGCGTTGACTTGTGTTGACTTTGCCCACCCTCCCGCCAGGCGTCATCATCCAAGGTGTGGCACCGGCAGTCCTACTGGACCCTCATTCCTCCCTCCTACTCCCCCTGTTGACCTGCGTTGACTTGTTTTGCCCTGTGTTGACCTGTGTTGACTTTGCCCTCCCTCCCGCCAGGCATCGGCATCCAAGGTGTGGCACAGACAGTCGTACTGGTCACTCACTCCCCCAACCAACCCCAGGTGAGAACCCATGGCATTTTGTGTATCATACAGAAAAAAATAGAATTCAACAACACTACACAAAGGAATAATGTGTCTCATCTCATGCCCCACTTTTATGTTTCTTTTTTGCAGGGACGTGATTTCCTTCTCTCTCACACCATCTCACTCTCACTCGCTCGCCCAATCTCCCTCCTCTCTCGATTCCTCCTCTCACCCCCCCTCCTCCCCTCCCTTTTCCTCCAACCTCCCCTCCTCTCCCTCAACCTCCACACACTCCTCTGCCTCCACCCTTCCTGGAAGCTTCCTCTCCTCCTCTTTTGCCTGCAACTCTCTCTTTGGCTCGTGGGCTGGGATACCACCTTCCCCGCTACAAGACGAAGCAGGCCACCCAATAAATTTCTCCCATGCATCAGCAGCCAATCAGCAGTTGCCACCTGGCGAGATCAAGCAGGTTCGGCGAGGTTTGCGGTTGCTTCGGAGAAGTGCTGCCTGCCTTGCTGCCGCCCACGCCGGCAGGTTTGGGATCGCCAGGCCTGGAGATGAGGCTCGGGGAGGAGGCGGTGCTGAGCTGGACGAGTTTGCTGAGCTGGCGATGATGATGTCAGCTGCCACACAGGACACACGGTTACCCTTTTTACGGTAAGCTGTGTTCCAATTGCTTACGTCTAACTAAATTCCATACATATCTTTTCTGTATGAAATTGCTGTAACACCCAGGCATTCGACTCATCGTTCCATCTCTCTCCCTGCAACGTCCACCACTACTAAGTCTTGCCTCCCCACCTCGCCCCACACCATCCAGCTGTCTCTCACGCTGTTATCACCCCCTTCCCCTTCCCTGCTCCCTCCCCTTCCTGTATCCCCCTCCGTCCCTTTCTTTGCAGCAACCAGGGCTTTGATTCGTCGTTCCTTATCAACCCTCCCACCTCCACCACTACTCAACCTCCCCACCTAAAACCGCACCATCCAGCACTCCCCCCCTTCGCTGCTACTGCTGCTGCTGCTCCCACTGCTGCTTCTCCCACTGCTGCTGCTGAAGGGGGAGCAGCAGGGGAGGGGGTGCAAGTGCCTCACGAGACCCTTCTTGGAAACTTCCTTGTTGAGGACTATATAAGCACAACTGCAGCAGCCCTGGTGAGTGAATGGAAATGAGGAAAGACGAGAAGAAATCTAGGATTGTCTCATTCCAAACCTCACTTATTCTGCATGTAACTGTGTCAGGTATGTACCGTACTGGAATTTCTCCCTCCCTCCCTTCCTTCCTTCCATATGATACCCCACACTCCTCCACACCCTCTCTCCTGCTCTCCTTCTCCCTCCCGTGTTCCGAGCAGCACGGTCGCAGAATACCCTGTAGAGTCATATCCGATACAAGCACAAGTGGCCCTCTTTCCCACACCCATCGCATCACCACGAGCCACAGCCCCAACACACCTCCAAACTCCAGCATATCAAATCATAAATGCAGGGCAGGTTCGGACATGCCAGCCTATTGGGTCTCTGAATCCGGTGCAAATGGGTTGAATCTGAAGCAGAGACTGCTAGGATCAAGAGGGAAGGGGCATGACGAAGGAATGGGGCTAGTGCGGGAGGGAGGACGTAGAGGAGGGAGGGAGGGAGGAGAGGGGAAGGGGGAGGTGGGAGGGGAGGAGTGGGCAGTGGTTGATGCGGTTCAGTTGCCACCTCCCCCAAGTGATGCCGAGGATGTGGAGCATTGGGCTCGAGCGATGTTTGTTGATGCGAGGCGCTGATGTGGAGGGGGAAGCTCATCACCTCAGCACTTCAGCCCCATTAAAACCCGCAGCCTGAATTACAAAAGCGAGTCAACGCTAGGTTTGGGTTGGGTTGGGGGTCAAGCAACTGAGGTTCGGAAGTTTAACGAAAGTTGCACCCTAGCGAAAACAAAGTGCGACAACCTGGTGTCGCACCAAGCAAATGACTCAGGACGGGAATGTGCCTGCATATGCCAAGAGTGAACACAAGCACCTCGACATACCTCACACCAGGTTAGAAGCTAATAGTTAGACTTCAAGTAGGAAAACGTCACCATGCGACCAAAACGACGGCATACCAGCCGCGTTTCCCCTATACATCGGACGCAAGTTCAAGCCCCGTCGCCCACAATTTTAGGGTTACAGCGCGTGCAGTTCCGATACACGGCGACGCCCGCATTTAGCATTTTCGTCGCGTGAGCGTGCCATTCCCGTAGCGCTAATATCCCCTACCCGTCACATGCAGGTCCCGTTCGACCCGCCCGCATTTCCCCTTCGCTTCACCCACATTTCCGCGTCGATTCCGTCGCATTTCCTCTTCGATGCGCCAGCTATAGGCGAACCCATCGCCTAAATTTCGCCAGCCCGTCGACTGCAGATTCCCTTCTCGTCGGCCGCCTTACCCTTTCCCGTCGACCCCACATCTCATTTCCGTCGACTTCCCTGTGATCCTTCCCGTCGTCTGCACCACACAGCACTGTCTCCCGTGAAAGGTCAGCTTCTCACCTTTCCTAATCGGTCTCACAGGCACGATGCATCTTAGCTATTGCCTTTCCACAAAAGAGCGCGGCGCTCTCATAGTATTCTCTCCCACAGCGCTCTCATATTCTCTCCCACAGCGCTCTCATATTCTCTCCCACAGCGCTCTCATATTCTCTCCCACAGCGCTCTCACACTCCCTACCCCGGCGTCATCGCATTCCCTCACACTCATCCCATTTCCAGGTAACGACCCATCCCCAGCGCCCTCACATTCTCTACCCCAGCGCCCTCACGCTCCCGTCCACAGCGCCAGCACAATGCCCTCCAGAATGCCCTAAGCCCATCGCGGCGCCTACCCCATCCCTCACCTCCCCATCCCTCACCTCCCCATCCCTCACCTCCCCATCCCTCACCTCCCCATCCCTCACCTCCCCATCCCTCACCTCCCCATCCCTCATCTCCCCATCCCTCATCTCCCCTTCCCTTCCTCCCTGTTTCCCCGTATCCCCTGCGCTGCTTCCCCCCATCCTCCGACTTGCTTCCCCCCAGTTCCTTCCCTGCTTTCCCCCGTCCCCTCCCCTGCCTCCCCCCATCCCCGTCCCTGCGTGCCCCCATCCCTTCCCTGCTCCCCCCCATCCCCTTCCCTGCTTCCCCCCATCCCCTTCCCTGCTTCCCCCCATCCCCTTCCCTGCTTCCCCCCGTCCCCCTCCCACCATCCCCCCATCCCCTTCCCTGCTACCCCCCATCTCCTTCCCTGCTTCCCCCATCTCCTTCCCTGCTTTCCCCCATCCCCTTCCCTGCTTCCCCCCATCCCCTTCCCTGCTTCCCCCCATCCCCTTCCCTGCTTCCCCCCATCCCCTTCCCTGCTTCCCCCCATCCCCTTCCCTGCTTCCCCCCATCCCCTTCCCTGCTTCCCCCCATCCCCCTCCCACCATCCCCCCATCCCCTTCCCTGCTACCCCCCATCTCCTTCCCTGCTTCCCCCATCTCCTTCCCTGCTCCCCCCCATCCCTCCTGCTCCCCCCCATCCCCTTCCCTGCTTCCCCCCATCCTCTTCCCATGCTCATTACTCCCGTCCCCTTCCCTCCTTCCCCCCGTCCCCCTCCCACCATCCCCCTATCCCTTCCCTGCTCCCCCCCATCCCCTTCCCTGCTCCCCCCCATCCTCTTCCCTGCTTCCCCCCACCCCCTTCCCTGCTTCCCCCCGTCCCCTTCCCTCCTTCCCCCCGTCGCCCTCCCTTCACCCTTGCTCTCTCTGTTTCACCCTTGCGCCCTCACATTCTCTACCCCAGCGCCCTCACGCTCCCGTCCACAGCGCCAGCACAATGCCCTCCAGATTGCCCTAAGCCCATCGCGGCGCCTACTCCATCTCTCACCTCCCCATCCCTCACCTCCCCATCCCTCACCTCCCCATCCCACATCTCCCCATCCATCATCTCCCCATCCCTTATCTCATTTTCCCCGTGCTCACACTCCTTTTTCCCTCATCTATTGTCTTTTAGATGCCCCCCCGGTCACTCTGAATCCTCCTTCTCGCATCCCATTTCCCCCCCTGCTCACTATGTTTCCCCCTGCTCACTGTCCTTTCCCCCCTGCTCTCTTCCCCCCTCCTCGCTCTCTTCCTCCCTGCTCACTCTCTTCCTCCCTGCTCACTCTCTTCCTCCCTGCTCACTCTATTTCTCCCTGCTCAATTTCTTCCCTTCTGCTCTCCCCCATCCCCTGCACTCTGTTTTTCCTTTCTCATTCTGTTTCCTGCTGCTCATTCCCTTATTCGACCCCTGGCTACTGTGGTTCCCCCTTCACTCGCCCCAGTCACCCCTCATGCAGTGTACAGGTGCCCAGCACCAACACCAGGTGTGGGGTGTGTCACCGCAAGTCCTGGTTTTTTCTGATGTGTTTGCAGACAAGAGTGGGAACAGTCACTGCATTGACTTCTGTTCTTTTTTACTAGATTGTTGCACTTTTTAGGAGGTTAATGGTCAAACTGCTCTGCTCTGAGGATCAAAATCTAGTATGTAATAATAAACATCCCTCATTGGCATGCCTACTGTATTTATCAAACCTTTAGTACTACCAAACAATCCACATTTCAGAACCAAATGCATACGGGGGAGGGGGAGACTTGCACAAACACGATTGTGAAAATCAGATTATCAGAGACTCATGGCTGAAGCAGCCGGTGAGCATTCAAAAGAATGACAACTGACAAGCAAGTACCTGCAAAGAGGAAGAAAAAAAGAGACATTTGTGGATTATTATTATGGTAGGAGACAAACAGAAAGACGACCAGTCGAAGGGAGGAACATAGGGAGGGAAGAACCGAGGAAGGGACGTAGGGAGGAGGAAGGGAGGAGCAGACGCAGCGAGGGATGGATGCAGGGAGGGAGGGAGGATGCAGGTAATGTGAGGGATGCAGGGAGGAAGAGAGGAGGAGGGGGGGAAGGGACTCCAGCAGCACCATGTCCGCCTCTGCTGCGCTACCCTGCCCGCCGCCATCTGTCCACCGCGCCCCAAGCAGCTCCTTGGTGCAGAAAAGCACACGGGGTGAGGGGTGAGGAGGAGATGGGGTGAGGAAGAGATGGGGTGAGGAAGAGATGGGGTGAGGAAGAGATGGGGTGAGGAAGAGATGGGGTGAGGAAGAGACGGGGTGAGGAAGAGATGGGGTGGGGCGGAAAAGGGTGAGGGGGAATGCTCTTGAGGCGGAATGGGGTGAGGCGGAATGGGGTGTTGCGGCAGGTTGCACGCCCACACTCCTCTGTCCCGCGTCCACCCCGTCCCTAGTGGCATGGGATGGGGTGGGGTTGACGGGGGAGGGGGACACGGGGCGGGTTTCCACATCGTTTACAGCAACCGCAGCAGGGATGGGGAGGTGAGGGATGGGGAGGGAGCGTGGGCGACGGGAGGGAGTGAGCGTGGGCGACGGGAAGGGAGGGAGCGTGGGCGACGGGAAGGGAGGGAGCGTGGGCGACGGGAAGGGAGGGAGCGTGGGCGATGGGAAGGGAGGGAGCGTGGGCGACGGGAAGGAGGGAGAGTGGGCGACGGGAGGGAGTGAGCGTGGGCGACGGGAAGGAGGGAGCATGGGCGACGGGAAGGGAGGGAGCGTGGGCGACAGGAAGGGAGGGAGCGTGGGCGACGGGAAGGGAGGGAGTGTGGGCGACGGGAGGGAGGGAGAGTGGGCGACGGGAAGGGAGGGAGCGTGGGCGACAGGAAGGGAGGGAGCGTGGGCGACGGGAAGGGAGGGAGCGTGGGCGACGGGAAGGGAGGGAGCGTGGGCGACGGGAAGGGAGGGAGCGTGTGCGACGGGAAGGAAGGGAGCGTGGGCGACGGGAAGGAAGGGAGCGTGGGCGACGGGAAGGGAGGGAGCGTGGGCGGGGAAGGGAGGGAGCGTGGGCGACGGGAGGGAGGGAGAGTGGGTGACGGGAGGGGGTGAGCGTGGGCGACGGGAAGGGAGGGAGCGTGGGCGACGGGAAGGGCGGGAGCGTGGGCGACGTGAGGGAGTGAGAGTGGGCGACGGGAGGGAGTGAGCGTGGGCAACGGAGGGTGTGAGCGCGCTTGTTCTAGGGGACTCCGCGTGGGCGACGGGAGGGACCTCGCGTTTGCGAGGGACTCAGCGACGCAAAACGCGATGGGATGGGCTGAGAGGACGGCGCGGCTACGACCAGAAGCGATTTCGTCGCAGAGGGCGGTGACCCTAAGCTACGGGGTGGGCGTGGCCTGCGACGCGACCCAAAAGTTCGACTCAGGCTATCGGAAAGCTAGGGCGACGGATCGTAACTCCGGGAGGAATAGAGGGAGCGAAGAATGGTGGAAGCAAATGTCGCGGAAAAACGATGACAGGTGGTGACATGTGAGGTGTCTAGCTTCTAAGCTATGCGCGTCACTACCAGTCCGCTAGGAACTATGCGAAGTTGGTCGACCTGAATTACAACTTTCAGAAAGGTGTGCACACTTGGGGCAAAAGTCTCCCAGGTTGGGTTGCCCAGACCCTCGCGATCCAAACCTGTGCTGCCTACGACCTCAGTACTTTGTGCGAGTGACACATGGTAACCAGAGAGGTTTGGGTATGGTAAGTGTTGGCCCTCCCATGGTTGGGAAGAAAGCAACCCTGAGGTTCGGCTCCCAAGGTGTTAACACCTCCCACGCGGTTTGTAATTCAGGCTGCGGGTTTTAAGGGGCAGTGGTAGATGCGGCTTAGTCGCCACCTCCCCTGTATGACGCCGAGGGTGTGGTGTGGAGCACAGGGCTTGAGCAATGGTTTTTTATGCGAGGAGGTGATGTGAGGGGGGGGGATAGGGGGAAGTGGGGGAGGAGATGAGGAAGCAGGAGGTGGAGGGAGAACAGGAGATCAAGGTACACCAGGACGAAACGGACAACATTGTACACATCGTATGGCTGTTCTGCTAAATCTTTTCTGTAATTACGGTACGATGGTTCCTTCCCTGCCAATTGTGTGCTGTATAGGCCATCCAATGATGATTTGTGACGATATCACTGCCGTTCCAGAAAGCTTGATGGCATAAATGTACTGTGTTTTTCTCACAGCAAACTTCTGAGGCGCTTCAAGCGCAATGGCATGCCATGGTATATGTTGTGTTTTTCTCAGAGCATAAGTTTTGAAGCCCCTCAAAAGTCGGCGCAATGGCATGGCATGGTATGTGTAGTGTTTTTCTCGGAGCAAAAGAAGGGCTGCTTGGCTGGCACACCAAGAGGATGGTCTGAGTGTTGAGGATGGATAAACAAAACAGAAACAAGCTTGGGCCGGTTGGATGAATGAATTGAATAGCGTTAGTATTCTTACGGTACAACATGCTGATCTAAAGAACCTTATTGCATTGCAGAGACGCCTAAAGAACATTCAACCAAGAATGCCAAGTCGCAGGAATCGCCTTGTCTTCCAGAAGCTGCTGAATAGTACGTCTCAAAAGTCAGTCATGGCTGTGTAAGGCCACAACTCCCATCAGTAATGAATTCTTCAACCGCGGCAACAGCCATGGCCGCAACCCGCGCACTGAGCCTTCGCGAGGCCCGCTGGGACTTGCAGCCGTGCCGTCGCGACAGCAAGCTGTTGCATGGAGAGAGTTTGCTGGCATATGTGGAGAGATTTCCTGCACATGGAGAGCGCTTCTCAGCAGCAGACGCGCCGTAGCGACGCCACTGATTCTGACGAAGAACGTCGGACGCGAGTTTGCGACACGCTTTCACCGTGCTGCACGTGGTTCTGTATGTGGTCTTGATTGTCAGCGTTGCAAGCGGGAACTTGAAGGCAGAGGAGGGGCCTTGAGCAGCAGGCAAGGGACCTTTAGGGGATTCAGCAGCAGCAACAGCAGCAGTCGTGCTGGAAAATGAAGCAGCATCTGCGATAGTGAATGAATTCGCAGGTTGGGCGGCAAATGCAGGGGGAGGTTGGACAGCAGAAGCAGCAGCAGCCTTGGCAATGCTTCTAGGAGACCCAGCGGCAGAGAATGACGTTGGGAACATTGGGAACTCCCCGCAAAACCAAGGGTCATTCAGAACCTCGTCAATGGACGGTCGGATCTGAGGGTCTGTTGCGAGCATCGAACGGATGAGATTCTTCGCTCGGCCTGAGATGAGCCACCAGCAGGGGGAGTCCCAGTCCTTGCTTTCGTCGAACCTTCTGCGACCATTCGCGAAAGTCGGCCATTTCCCCGACAGCATCGCATACAGGGTTACACCAAGGCTCCAAATATCAGCAGCGAAATCGTACGATTTTCCCCCCAGAACCTCGGGAGCCTCGTAAGGGGAGCTGCCTGCATAGCCGTCGATCTTCTCCCCCCGAGCAATCACCTTCGCGATTCCGAAATCCGCGAGCTTCGCAGTGAGTTCGCAACCTCGACCCATGAAGTCGCTTATTTGGGTTGATCTAGGAGACCCACTCGGCGAACCGCTTTCAGACGAGATTCGCCGAAGGAGAGAACTTCTTTCAAAACTGGCGGGAAACAAAAGAATGTTGTCGGGCTTGACGTCTCGATGAATGACCCCGTTATGGTGACATTGTTTCAAAGCCATGGCGATTCCTCTGAACAGTTCACGCGCCTCGGACTCCGCAATCCGTCCCTTCTGCTCTATGCGCGATAGAAGATCGCCGCCGGTCGCGAGCTCCATTACAAGCACCATCCCCCTCCCACCCTCTCCGATAAAAGCATCCTCGAGAGTAACAATGTTTTCACACCCTTTCAGGAGCGAAAGAGCCGTTACTTCCCGTTGCGCCGCTTCAACCGCTTCCTTGCGCGCCTCGACCACCTTGCAGGCGAATCGCCTGCCGGAAACGCGCTCCGCGCATTCCGCAACGACGCCGTACCGCCCCTTTCCCAAGTCCCCCCTGATTTCGTACTTCTCCGCGAAGGCGCGCAGAGAATAGCGCTGCGCCATGGCGCTCAGGGAGTTGCGCTCCGCGCATTCCGCAACAACGCCGAATTGTCCCTTTCCCAGGTCCTCCCTGATTTCGTACTTCTTCGTAATGGCGCCCAGAGAATTGCGCTGCGCCATATGGATGAAAGTATAAACACCTCGTGATTTTCCACGGCCTTTATTCTGCTAGAATTCGGCACCGTGACTAAAAACCGGGGCAATATTATCTCTAAAGGCCTGAACCAGGTTTTTTGTGATGTATGTAATGCGGGAGGTCGAGGACTCCGGAGGTCGAGCACTGCGGCGAATGCGGAGAAATAACTCCGACTGTAGGACCGTTTGAGCGAACGCAGAGGAATGTGTTTAATCATCCGCAGTGCTCTTGGAAAAAGACGTGAAGATTGGATTCGACTGACGATGAAAGCTCGAGATGACGCCATGGTAAGTACTACTGCTCGATATCCTGCGAAATGAGTCGCGTCGCGTCGCGTCGCGGCACGCTACGACCAATCAGACGAAACCAGGAGTTTCCTGGGAGCTGCTGGTGAATGGATGAAGTGAAGTCCTCATGTGCTCCTCATGGCGCTCCTCAAAGCACCAATCGATTGGTGATCACGCGCAACCAACGCCCCTCAAAACCCCCTAAATTGCGCAGTTTCCTAGGAGCTGATGCTGCTGCAGTTACCTCGATAGTGCCGACTCACGCGCCACGCGCGGGTCACACGAAGGACAACTAACGGTCGAGTCACCCGAAGGACAACTAAGGACAACTAGTGACAGCTAATGGTTTGGTTTGCCTTGGCTGAGTGGGTTGGGTGGAGCGATGGGGAGATTGGGAAGGTACAGAAGAACGCGGCTCGATTTGACGCGCTTTTGCGATGAGCAGCTAGGACACGGCACCTGTTTTCAAGTTGCCACGATCGATCCTCGCGGGGATCGATATGCCAGCTCTACAGTATTTTGACGACGTCGCCAAAGGTCTGGTATCCTTCGTCGCATATTTTCGTTTACGTCCAGTAAATATGTCTGCAAAAAGGTGTCACCTGTGGCTCGCAAGATCGATGTGCCTGCGCCCTCACATCGATCGTGTAATTGTGGAGATCGGGGCAATTTTGCCCCAGAAATTTGCGATCGTGGCACCTGAGGCTCGGTGTGTCCAGGCGATCGAAAAAAGGCAGTTGTGCACACCGGTGTGCCCATCGAACGTGGCAGGTTCGATGTGAGGCCCCGACCCTCCTCCGAACGTGGCAATTTGAAAGCAGGTGCCGCGTCCTTAGCAAATCTCTTCTCCGGGTAACCCTGTCTGTCGAGATTAGGTCTGAGAAATTGATTCGCCTGGGTTTGCGGGAAGATGCATTTTCCCCAAACCCCGCCCGCGCCCACTCCCACACTCCCCTGGTAACCCTGTCTGTCGTGATTGAGTCTCTGAAATTCATTCGCCCCCACTCACTCCCCCGCTCCTTTCCGCTCCAACCCCTTTCCCCTTCCGCCTGGCGAACCTCAACGACAAGACTTTTGAGGGCTGCTGGGAAGGAGCGTGATGCGGCAAGCGCGTTGGGCAACAGTCAGCGGCGAGTGGGCCCAGTTTGCGCGTCGGCGAAAATCTCACAAGTTACTGAGCGGTGTTCGCTTCACAGGAAAAAGATTGGATGCAGTAGCGATATAATATGCGAACGAAAATGTTACCGTCAATTCGTGATGTCGGGTCCAGTCAGTCTTCACGAAAATTTGAGGACCTCACGACGAGGTCAGCGCAGACGGTCAGCGTCGTTCCACGCGCACCCCCCCACGAGCATTGCTCGCTGCTTGGAAGGAGGGGTGGGGCGCCAAGCGCGTTGGGCAACAGTCTGCGGCGAGTGGGCCCGGTTTGCGCGTGGGCGAAAATCGTACGAGTTACTCAGCAGAAGTTCGCTTGTCAAAACCGATTGTTACCGCCAATTTGTGATGTCCGGTCCAGTCAAATTTCACGGGAAATTGATGACCTCACGACGAGGTCAGAGCAGACTATCAGCTTCACCACTATCCGCTAAAATGTAATTCCGTTGGACGTGACGAACTCTAAGGCGTCTGGCAACTTTTCTGTATTTCTCCTCTTTCCTCTCACTGCAAGTTTCTCGTACAACGTTGGACCTGCATTGACCTGTCAACAAATCGTCAGACAAGTGATTCACCTATCGCACGAGCCGCCGCAGCTGCCTTTCTGTAGAGCAGTGTTGGAAACAATAAATCCTAAGCGCCTCTGTCGTGTCGAAACATCGCACCAGAAGCGAAGCAAACTATATTGAAGCACACGCGAGTCAACCCTCGGAGGTTGAAAGAGGTTGCTGGAGGTTACGCGAAAGTCAAAGGTCAAGCGACCTTTGACCTGACAAGTACAGCGCGACAGTTAAGGACACACAACTGACTCGTTACAGAGCAGTTGCCCGAGTCGTACTGTATCGAACCGCAACAGCAAATTAGTTACAATCGTATCCTTTCGTATTCCTTGTACTACTATATATTCTTGTATCTCTTTGCTTTAATCAACTTACTTTGCTCTCACACACTAGTGCAAGGTGGTTCTTCGACCAGAGTATGATGGAGAAGTTTTTCTCCTTCATGTCGTTCTACGAACAACACCAGCAGTCGGCACCTGCGCAGTCAAACAACAGCAACAACAACAACGTGACTCCAATGAGTCTTGACGGCTCATCATATGCGCGCGGAAACCAGCAACAACCTACCTTTGCTCCGTATGAGCGCGGGTCCATCAGCTTCATGCCGCAGCCACAAGCCCCACCTGGACAAGAAAAACCACTGGACGCACTACAAGTTCAATCGCAATTCGCGCACGTCTTGAAGCTGCAGACATCAAGACCCTTTGACGGAAAGGACTTCTTTACCTGGTCATTCGAGTTCGAGCTCATGATGGAAGGCGCGCAGATACTTGGGTTCTTCGACGGATCTGTGCCATACCCAATCAACGGCACACAGTATGAGAAGCAGCAGTACACATATCAGTCGATGATGGCGTACACAATCCTACTGAGAAACATCACTCCGAGTCAGCAGCAGAACATTCGATCTTACCGGGGATACGGCAACTCTGCCGAGCTCGCTTACAGCCATCTGAAGAACCTGTACCAAGCAACAGACAGCGTGAACCAGAGTCGATTAATGGCGCAATTGACAAACGTCGAAATGAAACCTGGCGAAAAGGGAATGGCGTATATCAGCCGCTGTCGCGAACTGCGCGACAAACTCCTTCGATGCGGAGGATCAATAGCCGAAGAAGCCTTCGTAACGGTCGTAATCGGTGGCCTCGGTCCACAGTGGCGTTCCACCCGAGCCATCCTTCGAGCTCACGGAAAAATCTCCGAAGCAGCGCTCTGTGCTGAAATTCACGCCGAGCAGCAAGATATGGACCTGCAAGAAGAACGACACAAGAGAAAAACGTCAGTTCCGGAGTTCGCGTTCCACACTCAGCGACGCTACAACAACAACAGACAACACCAGAAGCACGTACCTCCGTTCTGCCATATCTGCAAGACGTCAGGGCACCCGCGCACACACTGCCCGAATCGACAACAGTCAACGCCACAACAGCGACAGCTTCGACCTTCAAGCAGCCAAGTTGCTTCAACGCAAGCGAATCCTACGACCCAGGTCCAAGCTTCAACAACATCAACGGGACAACCTGCACAAGGCGCAAGAAACATCGTTAGTTGTATGGCAAGACTGACCGACTCCTGCATCACCGAATCACCACCTCATTACTCACCGGAAGAACAGCTTGACAACAGCACGCCCCGCCGCGAGTCACTGCAGCCGAACCCGACATACGCCGCCATCGCCCAGAGTGAGCCATCCGGGAAAGACACATGGTTCTTGGACAGTTGCTGCGGACAGCACATGTGCTCCTCGGGTCGCTTCGTTCAACGGGAATACCAACTTCAACGCGAAGTCGTCATCACCGTCGCCAACAATCAGAACCTGCGTACACAGTGACAAGGCGTAGTTCAACTTCAGTCACGGGAAACAAACGTCATACTGCAAATGACGAAGGTCTTAATAGCAGAAGGACTCGGTTACAACTTACTGAGCGTCAGTCAGTTGATGGCGAAAGGCATCCACCTCGAAGCAGACAGCACCACACAGGAATTCCGGCTGTTCCACAGAAAGGGCGGCCTCTACATCGGAAAGGCGATCCTCAAGAACAACGTCTTCGTTCTTGACTTCGTACCAGACCTTGGCACCGCTGACAGCGACGGCATCGTCAGCTTTGCTCCTTGGACACATCCTCCAGATCTTGACCCAGACTTCAGCCCCGGCGGCTTCTGGCACTCACACACCATTCCTGAAGCAGAGAGAACAAGGGCGTTAGCAACAATTCAACAAACATCAGCAGCAGCAGAGACAACATCGGCAGCAGCAGAGACAACATCAGCAGCAGCAGAGACAACATCAGCAGCAGCAGAGGCAACAACGCCAACAGCAGCAGCAACATCGACACCAATCGCCGGTCCTTCAACGGCACCAATCTCCATCGACGATTCGCCTCCGACACTCGCACAGCAGTTAACCCCGGCACCACGAGAAGTCCACCGAAGCACTAACACCACCGCCGGCTTTTACTCAAACTCAGACATGTACAGACGCTCCCCCGGGCACCGCGCCAGCGAAGACATCTGGCACGCACGAATGGGACACTTAAGCAACACAACGTTAAACAACACAATAAGAGCAGGAGTGCTCGACAAAGACTCCCTACTACTGCACGACGGGAGAGAACTTCAACGAGTCAGAGGAACATGCTTCACCTGTCCTGAAGCCGACTTACCGCATCAGCCGTTCGTACCTCATCACAACCCAAGCGCACCTGCATACACACCACTTGAGAAGGTATACAGCGACATCCTGTACAATCGCGCAACAGGGCAAGGAGCCCTCAATTACACCATCACCTTCATCGACGCCGCCACTCGATACGTCTGGCACCTCAACCTTCCAAGCCGCGATATGGCTTTCGAAGCCTTTGTCGCCTGGCTTCCAGTCGCAGAACGAGAATCGGGAGCCAAGCTGAAAAGCTTTCAGTCAGACGGGGGAGGAGAATACACCTCACAGAGGTTCAAGCAATACTTGGCGGAAAGAGGAATCAAGAAACTCATCTCCCTCCCCTACGCCCATCAACAGCAGGGTGTAGCAGAAAGGATGAACAGGACACTGCAGAACACCATGCGCAAACTGCTACGTGGCATGCGGCTACCCAACCACCAGTGGCCAGAGGCGATGGACCACGCTGTCATGCTGCACAACTTGCTGTCTTCGTCGTCACTCCCGAACAACGCATCACCGCACCTGTTGTGGACAGGAAAACTGGGCAGCACAAAAATGTTACGAGTTTTTGGGTGCATGGTACAGTACCGACCTCCAGCTGCACGAGCCGGCCGATTCTCCCAACGAGCACAATGGGGACTACACCTGGGCATCGAAAAGAACTACAACGCGTGGAAAATTTTCGACGTCCACTCAAAAGAAACAGTACCAGCACGCGATGTCATCTTCTACGAGCGACTCACCCTCGACTCCTACCTTGCCAACTTGGCAGAACAGCGAGACCTCACCAGTGGATTCCGTGGAGACCGAGCCTTCGCCTCGGCAGCCGACGAAGCTGACCTGGACGAACAGAACGTGGAGGGAGCCTCGGAAGCAGCCGGACCACTCCCTTACTGCTCCGTGGATATCCCAATGGACGAAAAAAACCCTCGCAAAAGCATCAACGCCGAAGTCTTCTACGATTTCGCCGACACCGGTTACGTTACACCTGCACGGGTCAACACCGACGAAGCAGAACGCATAGGACCGAATTTCTTACCGGACCCAGAGGACGGTGACGAAGCAGCTTATCCCGAGGATACCACACTCCCCCGCTACACACAGAGTGGACTGCAAATCCTCGGCCTCGTCACCGCAGTCCACGGAACGACACCTCCTAAGGAGCCTGCGACGGTTCAACAGGCTCTGGGGGGGGAACATAGGGAAAAATGGCGTGAAGCCATGGACAAAGAGCTAAAGGCACTAGAGGAGCGCAACACCTGGAAAGTCGTCCCTATCGGCGTAGCACGAAACAAGACAATACTCACCGGAAAGTGGGTCTTCCGTGTGAAAACAAAGGCTGACGGCACCATCGACAAGTTCAAAGCGCGCTGGGTCGTACGCGGTTTCGACCAGGAGCATGGACGGGACTTCACCGAAACGTTTGCTCCGGTTAGCCGCCATACTTCACTTCGCATCCTTCTCGCAATCGCCGCCATGAAGAAGAAAAAGCTGCGACAGATCGATGTCGCAAACGCATTTCTCTACGCACCTGTTGACGCAGAGATCTTCGTGGAACTACCATACGGTTCCAGCACGAACTCCACGCACGTTTGCCAGCTGCTAAAATCGCTTTACGGGATCAAACAGGCTCCGCGACTATGGCAACAGTACCTGCATGCACGTCTCATCCGCATCGGCTTTAAGCAACTCCCGCACGACCAGGGCATGTACCGGCTCACGAAGAACGACGACTACATCCTGCTAATCGTCTACGTAGACGACCTTCTCTATATCGGCTCCACCGACGGTATCACCACCTGGTTCGAAGGGGAGCTGCAACAAGACCTCACACTCACGGTTTCGTCTACTGTGACTCAGTACCTCGGCCTCAATATCCGGGAAGAAGACGACGCAATCTACCTCAGCGCCGCAAAATACGCCGACACCATCGCCAAGCGCTTCAACCTCACGCCAACCGCCATCTCCACGCCGTATCGCTACACGACAGGAAACAACAAGGGAGAATCTACTCTACTCAAGCCTGCCGGGATTCGCGACTACCAGAGAAAACTGGGATGTCTCCTCTTCGCAGCCGTTACCTGTCGCCCAAACCTATCCTACTCCGCAAGCCAACTCGCCACCTACCTCAAAAGACCCGAAGCAGAGCACCTAGCAGAGCTCGACCGCGCTCTCCACTACCTCGTCAGCACCCCGACGATCGGGCTAACCTATCACAAAAACGCAACTACACCGACTAAGTTAATCGGCTACGTCGACGCAGACCATGCTGGTGACTCAGACAACAGACGCTCGCGCACCGGCTACATCTACCGCTTGGAACCTATCGGCCCTATCTCCTGGCAGTCGAGTAAGCAAGAACTAATCGCCCTCTCATCAGCTGAAGCAGAATATATCGCACTCTGCTCAGCCACCAAAGAAGGACTTTATCTTCGCGAGCTGCTGGAAGAAGCAAAGTTAGCCGAGTTACCCAACTTCACCCTGTTCTGCGACAACCAGTCAGCAATTCGTATCGCCAACAAAAGCGGCTTCGCGAACAGGACGAAACACATCGCCCTACGCTACTTCTTCGTGAAGGACGAAATCGAGAAGGGAAGACTTGAACTATCCTACTGTCCGACGTCCGAGATGGCAGCTGACTACTTGACCAAGAAACTCGGAAAGCAGAAGTTCGAGTACTGCATGCTGCTGACTGGACAGGGCCACGTCATCAGCAGCGACACTCCAGAAGCGAAGGGGAGTGTTGGAAACAATAAATTCTAAGCGCCTCTGTCGTGTCGAAACATCGCACCAGAAGCGAAGCAAACTATATTGAAGCACACGCGAGTCAACCCTCGGAGGTTGAAAGAGGTTGCTGGAGGTTACGCGAAAGTCAAAGGTCAAGCGACCTTTGACCTGACAAGTACAGCGCGACAGTTAAGGACACACAACTGACTCGTTACAGAGCAGTTGCCCGAGTCGTACTGTATCGAACCGCAACAGCAAATTAGTTACAATCGTATCCTTTCGTATTCCTTGTACTACTATATATTCTTGTATCTCTTTGCTATAATCAACTTACTTTGCCCTCACACACTAGTGCAAGGTGGTTCACAAGTCTTCATTAAACGCTTCCGCTATTACAATAGTCCTACCCCGAATTTACCCCTGCAAAAGATCCTAAGGGCTTTTCTCAGCCCAACAAGCAGCAGTGCCACAACGATCATCGGTGAAGCAAAAGCCACAAGCCTGGCCATTATTAGAGCCGGCAAGGCTACACACACACGCACTCGCACACACTCACACTCACACTCACAAGCGCACGTATGTATGCACAGATAAATGCTTTAGGTAAGGTAAGTCCCTCTACTGGTGCCTTTTCTGTAAACCAGCAGCGCCACAATAACCAACGAGGCTACAGCCACGAGCCAAGACAGCACTAGGGCCGTCACACAGCCGCCCGGCACAAGACCAATGAGCATCTGCCACGTGGCATGGGTTGAAGAGGCGAGTGATTGAATGAATAAGTGATAAGAATGAGTGGACGAGTGAGCGGTAACAAGTTTCAGCCAAGCCATGAGGCTCAAAACAAGAACAGAACTTTCAAGGCACACAAAACGATGAGCAAAGAGGGAAAAATAGCAGCAAGGAAACGACTTTTGAGGCGCCTAAAAAGATAAGCCAAGAGGGCAAAATAGCAGGAAGGAAACTCACGAGCACCGCTGCTGTTGCATGAAGCACAGGAGCCGTAATTTCTTGAGGGGTGGATGGAAAGCATCTTATAGGAGACTCAACACGCAAGGCAAATATTGGAAGCAGGTGGAGGAATCTCACCAACACCGCTGCTGTTGCATGAAGCACAGGAGCCTTCATTTCTTGAGGGGTGGAGGGAAGAGAGAAGCGCCATTCTGACACCTGCCCAACCTGCCCGACCTGCCCGACCTGCCCGACCTGCCCAGACTGCCCAAACCGCCCGAACTGCCCTTCATCTGCTGCGTCTGTGGCCCCTGCTGCTGCTTCTGTACCCCTTAAAGGCTGCCTCTCTTGCACTGCCTCTGCTGCTCTGCTAGACTGCACGCCTTCTGTCCCCTTTATAAGCTGCGCCCTGTGTGCTTCATAAGCCAGCACCATTCCCAGGGAATGTATTATGAGAAAGGCTGCCGAGGCAATGGCTGAAACCAGGAGGACGTGAAGAAAAGGGAGGAAAGAGGAAAAGCGAGTGAGGAGAGAGGAGTAGAGAGAAGGAGCATCATAAGCCAGAACCATTCCCAGGCAGTCTATTATAGGGAAGGCTGCAGAGGCGATGGCTGGAGAAAAGGGAGGATGTAGAAGAAGGGGGAGTGAAGATGTGGAACGATGAGGGAGAAAGGAAATGGGAGGAGGAGACGGAGCATTGTAAATCAGCATCATCCCCAGGGATTGTATTATGAGAAACGCTGCAGAGACAATGGCTGGAAAGAGAGGGATGGCGGAAAAAAGGGCGGAGAAGAAAAGGGAGTGGAGGAGAGGAGGAGAGGGAAGGGAGCGCGAGACTCATAAGCCAGCACCATCCCCAGGGAGTGTATTATGAGGAAGGATGCAGAGGCAATGGCTGAAAAAAGGGGAGGTTGGGTAGGAAACGGGGGAGGGACGAAATGAGAGAAGGGAAGGGAGACTTGTAACCCAGCATCATTCCCAGAGGGTGTATTATGAGGAAGGCTGCAGACGCAATGGCTGGTAACGGGGGGATGAGAAGGGGAGGGGAGAGTTGAGGAAGGATAAAGAAGACTATTGCAGGAGCCTGTTTTTGAGTCGACTCAAAAACACACAGTGGCTGGTAATGGGGGGATGAGAAGGAGAGGGGAGAGTTGAGGAGGGATAGAGAAGACGATTGCAGGAGTAGAAGGGGTCTTTTGAGACGTCTCAAAAAACGGAGGGATGAGAAGGAGAGGGGAGAGTTGAGGAGGGATAAAGAAGACTATTGCAGGAGTAGAAGGGGCGGGCGAGAAGCCCCCACCGTACCCACATCCACCCTCCCCACATCCACCCTCCCCACACACACACCCCCTCCCCATATCCCCCCTCCCCACAACCCCCCCCTCCCCCCCCCCGCGCAAACCACCCCTTCCCAGGTCGTACCTGCTAGCAGCACGAGGGGCAGCTGGGTGCAGCGCCAGGAGTTGAAGGTAGCTGGCCCGATGGCGGGTGAGGAGTTAAACCCTCAACCTTTCAATATCCACCCTTTCAATGTCCACCCTTTCAATATCCACCCTTTCAATATCCACCCTTTCAATATCCACCCTTTCAATATCCACCCTTTCAATATCCACCCTTTCAATATCCACCCTTTCAATATCCACCCTTTCAATATCCACCCTTTCAATATCCACCCTTTCAATATCCACCCTCCCGCACACCCACCCTTTCCACATACAGGATTAAGTACTTCTTACCTGCTAGGAGAACAAGGGGCAGCTGGGGGCAGCGCCAGGAGTAGAAGGTGGCTGGGCCGATGGCGGGTGAGGAGACGCTGAGGAAGAGGAAGAGGGAGTGGGCGATGCCATGGCCTAGACCGGTAGCTGTAGTGAATTTGGGGGAGAAGGGGGAAGGAGTGGGTGTGCAGGGATGAGAAAAGGCAAGGCGGGGTAGTGTGGGGAGTGCAATCCCATGGCCTAGACCAGTAGCTGTAGTGATTTTCTGGGGGGGAAGGCAGGGGTGTGAGCAGGGATGGGAGAGGGGCTGATGGCGGGTGAAGAGACGCTGAGGAAGAGGAAGAGGGAATGAGCAATCCCATGGCCTAGACCGGTAGTTGTAGTGAATTTGAGAGGGGGGAGGGAGGGGTGTGAGCAGGGATGGGAGAGGGGCCGATGGCTGGTGAAGAGACTGTGAGGAAGCAGAAGAGGGAGTGAGCAGAAGAGAGAGGAGGAAGCAAACCCATGGCCTAGGCCAGTAGTTGTGGAGGATTGGGGGAGGGACAGGGAGGGGGAGTGTACTTTCTTAGGTGATACTGAGTGCTTACCGAAGAAGAGGTGAAAGGTGTTGAGAGGGGAGAGTGGGGAGAAGAGAAGGAAGGGGTGTACTTGCTTGCTTAGGTGATACTAAATGCTTACCGAGGGAGAGGTGAAAGGTGTTGAGAGGGGAGAGTGGGGAGAAGAGAAGGAAGGGGTGTACTTGCTTGCTTAGGTGATACTAAATGCTTACCGAGGGAGAGGTGAAAGGTGTTGAGAGGGGAGAGTGGGGAGGAGAGAAGGGAGGGGTGTACTTGCTTGCTTAGGTGATACTAAATGCTTACCGAGGGAGAGGTGAAAGGTGTTGAGAGGGGAGAGTGGGGAGGAGAGAAGGGAGGGGTGTACTTGCTTGCTTAGGTGATACTAAATGCTTACCGAGGGAGAGGTGAAAGGTGTTGAGAGGGGAAAGTGCGGGCAGGCGTCTTGCAGTGGCTATGGCGTTTAGACCGCGCTCCAGGCGACTGGGTGTTGTGGGGAAGAACGGGAGGAAGAAAGGGAGGAAGAGAAAGAAAGGAGGGGCAAGTGGCGGATCACAATAGGTGTCTTGCAGTGGCTATGGCGTTTAGACCGCGCTCCAAGCGACTGGGTGTTGGGGGGGAAAAACGGGAGGACAAAAGGGAGGAAGAAAAGGGGGAATGAAGGGGAAGAAATATGACAGCGGGGGGCTTAAAGCCGCAGGCTTATAAGGAAAATTTTAAAAGGCGGGTGCTTAAAGCAGCATGCTTACAAGAGAATTTGGCAAAGCCACTGTTGATTGAGAGACCTCCTGGGCAGCAACGGCTGAGAGGAGGAGGAGGAGATGTGGGGATTAACATAGCGGCTTTGTCAAGGAAAAGGTTGGTGCTTAGACCACATGCTTACAAGAGGATTTGGCAGAGCAGCTGTCGGGATAGCTCCTGACCGGCAACAGCAGAGAGGATGAGGAAGAGGAGGAGGAGGAGGAGGAGGAGGAGGAGGAGGAGGAGGAGGAGGAGGAGGAGGAGGAGGAGGAGGAGGAGGAGGAGGAGGAGGAGGAGGAGGAGGAGGAGGAGGAGGAGGAGGAGGAGGAGGAGGAGGAAAAAGCGAAAGCAGAGGTATGGGAAACAGTAGATTGACTTAAAGGAAGGCAGGTGCTTACAAAAGGATTTGGCAGAGCAGCTGCCTGGACAGCTCTTGACTGGCAACAGCAGAGCGGATGAGGAGGAGGAGAGTAAGCAGCGGAAGCATGGGGGAGCAGGAGGTTGATTGAGAAGGCGGACACTTACAAGAGAATCTGGCAGAGCAGCTGTCTAGATAGCTCTTGGCCAGCGACGGCTGAGAGGATGAGGAGGAGGAGGAAGAAGTCGGAGAGAGCTGTGAGGGCGATGAAGGGGTGACAGAGGAAGGCAATGGCGAGGAGTGTGATGAGCCAATAGAAGGTGCTGTTGGTGGTGTGGCAGACAAGGAGAAGGGGGAGAGGGGAGAGGAGGGGGGTGTGGGGAGGGAATGGAAAATGATGAGCAAAAATCTGAGAAAGCAGTGAGGGCGATGAAGGGACGTTAGAGAAAGGCGATTGCGAGGAGTGTGATAAGCCAATAGAAGGTGCTGTTAGTGGGGAGGAGGGCAGGAGGGAGAGGGGAAGGAGAAAATGGAGGAAAACGGTCGGAGAAAGGAGTGGAGGTGATGAAGCGACGTTAGAGAAGGCGATTGTGAGGAGCGTGATGAGCTAATAGAAGGTGCTGTTGGTGGGGGGGAGAGGAGAATGGGGAGAGAGGGCTGTGAGGGAGGGTTGAGGGAGGTGTGAGGGAGATGTGAGGGAGGCGTGGGGGAGGTGTGAAGGAGGTGCGAGGGAGGTGTGACGCAAGCGGGAGGGATGTGTGAGGGATGTGTGAGGGAGTTGTGAGAGGTATGAGGGAGCGAGCGCAAAGTGTGGTGGGCAGGGATGAAGGATGAGAGGATGGGGGATGGGGGGGATGGAGGGATGGGAGGATGTGGAGAGACAAGAGGGGTTGGCGAAGGCGACCCTTTAATAGCTGCTTCGAGAAAGAGACTAGAAAATAAGGGAATTATACTCTGTTACTACATGCTATTACCGCACCAACCTGGTCGGTGTGAGGATCTCTTAAATACCTGTGCTAGGCTGTGAATGTAAACACCTGGTGAGGGCAACGGGAGAGTTTTGGGTCGACACAGAAGTCGCAGTGACTTTAAACACCTTTTGTGAGAGTAACGAGCATGATCTTAGACACCTTGTGAGAGTAACGAGGGAGAGGAACGCCTGTCGCGACACGGTAACGGCGATCACGGCAATGGCCGGTCCGAAGCCAATCAGAAACGCGCCGCAAAACGCGGCGAATGTCATCTCGGCCGACCAATCGTCGGTCGAGAAAAGGCTAAGACGATTCAGGAATCTCGGCTAACCCATGCCACTAATTAATTTTACTTGCCAGGTAATGCTTCTGTGATGAAAATCCGTTTCGCCTGATGGTTCTAGGATGCAAGTAGTCGCCTTCTTCGCCTGAATTCTAGATTCCAGAGCGTGGACGCTAACGAAAGCTGCGTTCGTCGATGTTACCGTTGAATTGAAACTCTTCGTTCAAACTATAACATTCATTCCGGGAGTCGTTCCTTGCTGATCAGGGTCGTTTCCTGTGTCGAAGTTGTGTCAGGATACCCGTTGTTCGTTCACAGTGATCAGGTTCACGCCTCTGGGAGGAAAGTGACTTCCGATTTTTGCTGCATCGATAAGCCTAAAAAAACGCGCAGTATACTTGTTTCATAAATGCTTGGATCGAGTCTTCAATTTTGGGTTGGAAGTTGCTACACTGCATTGCAGCTCCAGATTTCTCGTGCCTGCCTCATGTGGTTGCAGCACAGGCAGGCAACAGTATGTCAACGACACTGCTAACGATCCACTTCATTTCTAAGCTCATGAGGCTAGACTTCATCATAATGTGGTTGATTCTCTAGTCTAAGAACGTGGCATTCCTTACCACGCCGCACATATCTGTGGCAACTGCCGAAGTGTACACGCCTAATCCAGCTTCTGCAATCATGAATCTCTAAAAGGCAGTGTATTAATCCTGCCCTGCATCTCTTTATCTATTAAGTTTGGAACTGCACCACACCGCACTCCACCCATCCTTCATTGCTCGCTATACATGGCAGACTGCTCCGACAGTGTAGCTTCCCGCTGGTTACCGCCCGTAACACCAGCAGCAGGGGCGAGGGCTTCAGCAGGCAGCAGGTCGCACTGAGCCACGTGCTGCAGCAGCTGATCTGCGAGGACTAGAGCCACCATGGCCTCCACCATGGGGACGGCTGGTGGGAAGTTTGGACGGAGGGAAGGAGAGAAGGAAAGGAGACGAGTGAGGACCATCAGCAGGCAGCAGGTCGCAGTGAGCCACATGCTGCAGCAGCTGATCTGCGATACCAGACACAAGCGAAGAGCTACCACAGCTGGTGGGGAAGAGGGGAAGAGGGTTGAAGGATGGCGAATACACTGGGATGGGAGCCCGTACTGCAAGTGAAAACCACATGTCATGGTATTTCATCCATAGTGGCTTCGACAGAGCAACGGTGTCAACCTTGGGAAGCTAATGTTTCCTGAAGAACCACCACCGCCGGACCTAATATCCCTGTTACCACAACCCACCTCTGGGCACCACAACCCACCTCTGGGCACCACAACCCACCTCTGGGCACCACACAAGGGTCGTGCCGGCCACGCGCCTTGAGCTCTGTCTCCACGCCCTCGCGAGTTACCGTGCGCTGACTCCTCTGTTTGGTTGCAAAGAAAGGGAAAAGGGGGAAAGGATGAACAGAACTTTTCAAGGAGCCTTATTCTCTGGGGATCAGCATAGTGAGTTTCCACGCCGTCACGAGTCGAAGTCTTGAAAATCAGGGGCATCACGAGTCAGAGTCTTGAAAATCAGGGCCATCACGAGTCATTGTTGGGGATGCATCACTGAATGCCCCTGCATGCTTAGATGGTGCTTGCTTGCACCAGTGTGAATGAGTCAAGGAAGCACGATCCAGTCCAGACTCACTGTGATGGTGGAGGTGGGTTTGAACGCCACGCGCACGACAATGTTCTCCCCGTTCGAGACGCCTCCATGAATGCCCCCCGAATTCCCTTTGAACGCATGGCTGATGCTTGAACTACAAGTCAAGGAAGCACGATCCAGTCCAGACTCACTGTGATGGTGGAGGTGGGTTTGAATGCCACGCGGACCACAATGTTCTCCCCATTTGAGATGCCCCCCTGAATGCCCCCGAGCGGTTGGTGCGAGTGCGAATGGCGCCGCCTGGGGCAACGTAGAACTCGTCGTTGTGCTCGCTGCCCAGCATGCGCGTTCCTGGGGGAGGGAGACGGATGGGTGAATGGACGGCCATATGGCAGGAAACAAGCTGAGCGGTTGGTGCGCGTGCGAATGGCCCCGCCTGGAGCAACATAGACTCATCATTATGCTCACTGCCCAGCATGCGCGTGTCTGTACTAGGAGAGAGGTGAATCATAAATGGATGCATGAAGGCCATGAAAGGAAAAAGAGGCTCAGCGATTGGTGCGAGTGCGGAAGGCACCGCCTGGGCCCTGGGGCAACGTAGAACTAGTCGTTGTGCTCACTGCCGAGCATGCGGATGCTTGCAGGGAGCGTGCTTACATGAGAGTTTCAAATTTGATGTGCCTCAAAAGACGTACCTGAGAAGCCGCTCCCAATTTCAAACCCCTTTGTGGCGGGCAGAGACATGAGCGCCCGTGCCAGCTCGGCCTCTAGCTTGTCAAACACAGGCGAGCCCAGCCCCTGGTGGGGAGGGAAGGATAAGGGCAAGAGACATGAGCGCCCGTGCCAGCTCTGCTTCCAGCTTGTCAAACACAGGCGAGCCCAGCCCCTGGTGGGGAGGGAAGGATAAGGGCAAGAGACATGAGCGCCCGTGCCAGCTCTGCTTCCAGCTTGTCAAACACAGGCGAGCCCAGCCCCTGGTGGGGAGGGAAGGATAAGGGCAAGAGACATGAGCGCCCGTGCCAGCTCTGCTTCCAGCTTGTCAAACACAGGCGAGCCCAGCCCCTGGTGGGGAGGGAAGGGGGAGCGGGTTGGTTGGGTGGAAGAGAGGAGGGGAAGAGGGAAGGGGGAAGGAGGGAAGGATAAGGGCAAGGCAAGAGACATGAGCGTCCATGCTAGCTCGGCTTCCAGCTTGTCAAACACAGGCGAGCCTAGACCCTGGTGGGGGAGAGGGGGGGAGGGGGTTTGGGGGGTGTAAGGGAGGAGGGTAAGAGGAAGAATGGTGAGAGACATGAGCGCTCGTGCTAGCTCGGCTTCCAGCTTGTCAAACACAGGCGAGCCTAGACCCTGGTGGGGGAGAGGGGGGGAGGGGGTTTGGGGGGTGTAAGGGAGGAGGGTAAGAGGAAGAATGGTGAGAGACATGAGCGCTCGTGCTAGCTCGGCTTCCAGCTTGTCAAACACAGGCGAGCCTAGACCCTGGTGGGGGAGAGGGGGGGAGGGGGTTTGGGGGGTGTAAGGGAGGAGGGTAAGAGGAAGAATGGTGAGAGACATGAGCGCTCGTGCTAGCTCGGCTTCCAGCTTGTCAAACACAGGCGAGCCTAGACCCTGGTGGGGGAGAGGGGGGGAGGGGGTTTGGGGGGTGTAAGGGAGGAGGGTAAGAGGAAGAATGGTGAGAGACATGAGCGCTCGTGCTAGCTCGGCTTCCAGCTTGTCAAACACAGGCGAGCCTAGACCCTGGTGGGGGAGAGGGGGGGAGGGGGTTTGGGGGGTGTAAGGGAGGAGGGTAAGAGGAAGAATGGTGAGAGACATGAGCGCTCGTGCTAGCTCGGCTTCCAGCTTGTCAAACACAGGCGAGCCTAGACCCTGGTGGGGGAGAGGGGGGGAGGGGGTTTGGGGGGTGCAAGGGAGGAGGGTAAGAGGAAGAATGGTGAGAGACATGGGCGCTCGTGCTAGCTCGGCTTCCAGCTTGTCAAACACAGGCGAGCCCAGACCCTGGTGGGGGAGAGGGGGGGAGGGGGTTTGGGGGGTGCAAGGGAGGAGGGTAAGAGGAAGAATGGTGAGAGACATGGGCGCTCGTGCTAGCTCGGCTTCCAGCTTGTCAAACACAGGCGAGCCCAGACCCTGGTGGGGGAGAGGGGGGGAGGGGGTTTGGGGGGTGCAAGGGAGGAGGGTAAGAGGAAGAATGGTGAGAGACATGGGCGCTCGTGCTAGCTCGGCTTCCAGCTTGTCAAACACAGGCGAGCCCAGACCCTGGTGGGGGAGAGGGGGGGGGGGGTTTGGGGGGTGCAAGGGAGGAGGGTAAGAGGAAGAATGGTGAGAGACATGGGCGCTCGTGCTAGCTCGGCTTCCAGCTTGTCAAACACAGGCGAGCCCAGACCCTGGTGGGGGAGAGGGGGGGAGGGGGTTTGGGGGGTGCAAGGGAGGAGGGTAAGAGGAAGAATGGTGAGAGACATGGGCGCTCGTGCTAGCTCGGCTTCCAGCTTGTCAAACACAGGCGAGCCCAGACCCTGGTGGGGGAGAGGGGGGGGGGGGTTTGGGGGGTGCAAGGGAGGAGGGTAAGAGGAAGAATGGTGAGAGTCATGGGCGCTCGTGCTAGCTCGGCTTCCAGCTTGTCAAACACAGGCGAGCCCAGACCCTGGTGGGGGAGAGGGGGGGAGGGGGTTTGGGGGGTGCAAGGGAGGAGGGTAAGAGGAAGAATGGTGAGAGACATGGGCGCTCGTGCTAGCTCGGCTTCCAGCTTGTCAAACACAGGCGAGCCTAGACCCTGGTGGGGGAGAGGGGGGGAGGGGGTTTGGGGGGTGCAAGGGAGGAGGGTAAGAGGAAGAATGGTGAGAGACATGGGCGCTCGTGCTAGCTCGGCTTCCAGCTTGGTGACTTTTGAGTCGACTCAAAAGGAGGGAAGGATAAGGGCAAGAGACATGAGCGTCCATGCTAGCTCGGCTTCCAGCTTGTCAAACACAGGCGAGCCCAGACCCTGATGGGGGGGGGGGGAGGAGAGGGGGGGTTGGGGGTTGGAAGGGAGGAGGGGAAGAGCAAAGGATGAGGGAAGGAGGAAGTGGGATGGCAAGAGACATGGGTGCTCGGTCTAGCTCGGCTTACAGCTTGTCAAACACAGGCGAACCCAGTCCCTGGTGGGGGGGTGAGGGGAGGAGAGGAGAGAGGGAGAGATGGAGATAGGAAGGAGGAAAGTGGAATGAGGAGAGCTGAGGGTTTGTGCTAGTTCGACCACCAGCTTGTCAAACACAGGCGAGCCCAATCCCTGGTGGGGGAGGGGGCCAGGACGGAGGAGAGAGGGAGGAGGGAAGGAGGAAAGTGGAATGATAAGTGACCTGAGCGCTCGGGCCAGCTCGACCACCAGCTTGTCAAACACAGGCGAGCCCAGACCATGGTGGGGGAGAGGAATAGGAGAAGGAGGGAGGAGGTAAGGGAGAGGGAAGGGAGAGGGAAGGGAGAGGGAAGGGAGAGGGAAGGGAGAGGGAAGGGAGAGGGAAGGAGGAGAGAAGAACTGCGAGAGAGAGAGAGCTGAGCGCTTGAGCCCGTTCGGTCCAGCCTCTACTTTTTGAACCCAGGCCAGCAAAAGCACAAGCTACCTCGATCCCCACCCATCTTACCAACCTCATCACACCCAGGCCAGCAAAAGCACAAGCTACCTTGATCCCCACCCATCTTACCAACCTCATCACACCCAGGCCAGCAAAAGCACAAGCTACCTTGATCCCCACCCATCTTACCAACCTCATCACACCCAGGCCAGCAGAAGCACAAGCTACCTCGATCCCCACCCATCTTACCAACCTCATCACACCCAGGCCAGCAAAAGCACAAGCTACCTCGATCCCCACCCATCTTACCAACCTCATCACACCCAGGCCAGCAAAAGCACAAGCTACCTCGATCCCCACCCATCTTACCAACCTCATCACACCCAGGCCAGCAAAAGCACAAGCTACCTCGATCCCCACCCATCTTACCAACCTCATCACACCCAGGCCAGCAAAAGCACAAGCTACCTTGATCCCCACCCATCTTACCAACCTCATCACACCCAGGCCAGCAAAAGCACAAGCTACCTTGATCCCCACCCATCTTACCAACCTCATCACACCCAGGCCAGCAAAAGCACAAGCTACCTCGATCCCCACCCATCTTACCAACCTCATCACACCCAGGCCAGCAAAAGCACAAGCTACCTTGATCCCCACCCATCTTACCAACCTCATCACACCCAGGCCAGCAAAAGCACAAGCTACCTCGACCCCCACCCATCTTACCAACCTCATCACACCCAGTCCAGCAAAAGCACAAGCTACCTTGATCCCCACCCATCTTACCAACCTCATCACACCCAGGCCAGCAAAAGCACAAGCTACCTCGATCCCCACCCATCTTACCAACCTCATCACACCCAGGCCAGCAAAAGCACAAGCTACCTTGATCCCCACCCATCTTACCAACCTCATCACACCCAGGCCAGCAAAAGCACAAGCTACCTTGATCCCCACCCATCTTACCAACCTCATCACACCCAGACCAGCAAAAGCACAAGCTACCTCGATCCCCACCCATCTTACCAACCTCATCACACCCAGGCCAGCAAAAGCACAAGCTACCTTGATCCCCACCCATCTTACCAACCTCATCACACCCAGGCCAGCAAAAGCACAAGCTACCTTGATCCCCACCCATCTTACCAACCTCATCACACCCAGGCCAGCAAAAGCACAAGCTACCTCGATCCCCACCCATCTTACCAACCTCATCACACCCAGGCCAGCAAAAGCACAAGCTACCTTGATCCCCACCCATCTTACCAACCTCATCACACCCAGGCCAGCAAAAGCACAAGCTACCTTGATCCCCACCCATCTTACCAACCTCATCACACCCAGGCCAGCAAAAGCACAAGCTACCTCGATCCCCACCCATCTTACCAACCTCATCACACCCAGGCCAGCAAAAGCACAAGCTACCTTGATCCCCACCCATCTTACCAACCTCATCACACCCAGGCCAGCAAAAGCACGAGCTACCTTGATCCCCACCCATCTTACCAACCTCATCACACCCAGGCCAGCAAAAGCACAAGCTACCTTGATCCCCACCCATCTTACCAACCTCATCACACCCAGGCCAGCAAAAGCACAAGCTACCTTGATCCCCACCCATCTTACCAACCTCATCACACCCAGGCCAGCAAAAGCACAAGCTACCTTGATCCCCACCCATCTTACCAACCTCATCACACCCAGGCCAGCAAAAGCACAAGCTACCTTGATCCCCACCCATCTTACCAACCTCATCACACCCAGGCCAGCAGAAGCACAAGCTACCTTGATCCCCACCCATCTTACCAACCTCATCACACCCAGGCCAGCAAAAGCACAAGCTACCTTGATCCCCACCCATCTTACCAACCTCATCACACCCAGGCCAGCAAAAGCACAAGCTACCTCGATCCCCACCCATCTTACCAACCTCATCACACCCAGGCCAGCAAAAGCACAAGCTACCTCGATCCCCACCCATCTTACCAACCTCATCACACCCAGGCCAGCAAAAGCACAAGCTACCTTGATCCCCACCCATCTTACCAACCTCATCACACCCAGGCCAGCAAAAGCACAAGCTACCTTGATCCCCACCCATCTTACCAACCTCATCACACCCAGGCCAGCAAAAGCACGAGCTACCTTGATCCCCACCCATCTTACCAACCTCATCACACCCAGGCCAGCAAAAGCACAAGCTACCTTGATCCCCACCCATCTTACCAACCTCATCACACCCAGGCCAGCAAAAGCACAAGCTACCTTGATCCCCACCCATCTTACCAACCTCATCACACCCAGGCCAGCAAAAGCACAAGCTACCTTGATCCCCACCCATCTTACCAACCTCATCACACCCAGGCCAGCAAAAGCACAAGCTACCTTGATCCCCACCCATCTTACCAACCTCATCACACCCAGGCCAGCAAAAGCACAAGCTACCTCGATCCCCACCCATCTTACCAACCTCATCACACCCAGGCCAGCAAAAGCACAAGCTACCTTGATCCCCACCCATCTTACCAACCTCATCACACCCAGGCCAGCAAAAGCACAAGCTACCTTGATCCCCACCCATCTTACCAACCTCATCACACCCAGACCAGCAAAAGCACAAGCTACCTCGATCCCCACCCATCTTACCAACCTCATCACACCCAGGCCAGCAAAAGCACAAGCTACCTCGATCCCCACCCATCTTACCAACCTCATCACACCCAGGCCAGCAAAAGCACAAGCTACCTTGATCCCCACCCATCTTACCAACCTCATCACACCCAGGCCAGCAAAAGCACAAGCTACCTCGATCCCCACCCATCTTACCAACCTCATCACACCCAGGCCAGCAAAAGCACAAGCTACCTTGATCCCCACCCATCTTACCAACCTCATCACACCCAGGCCAGCAAAAGCACAAGCTACCTCGATCCCCACCCATCTTACCAACCTCATCACACCCAGGCCAGCAAAAGCACAAGCTACCTTGATCCCCACCCATCTTACCAACCTCATCACACCCAGGCCAGCAAAAGCACAAGCTACCTTGATCCCCACCCATCTTACCAACCTCATCACACCCAGACCAGCAAAAGCACAAGCTACCTCGATCCCCACCCATCTTACCAACCTCATCACACCCAGGCCAGCAAAAGCACAAGCTACCTCGATCCCCACCCATCTTACCAACCTCATCACACCCAGGCCAGCAAAAGCACAAGCTACCTTGATCCCCACCCATCTTACCAACCTCATCACACCCAGGCCAGCAAAAGCACAAGCTACCTCGATCCCCACCCATCTTACCAACCTCATCACACCCAGGCCAGCAAAAGCACAAGCTACCTTGATCCCCACCCATCTTACCAACCTCATCACACCCAGGCCAGCAAAAGCACAAGCTACCTTGATCCCCACCCATCTTACCAACCTCATCACACCCAGGCCAGCAAAAGCACAAGCTACCTCGATCCCCACCCATCTTACCAACCTCATCACACCCAGGCCAGCAAAAGCACAAGCTACCTTGATCCCCACCCATCTTACCAACCTCATCACACCCAGGCCAGCAAAAGCACAAGCTACCTTGATCCCCACCCATCTTACCAACCTCATCACACCCAGGCCAGCAAAAGCACAAGCTACCTTGATCCCCACCCATCTTACCAACCTCATCACACCCAGGCCAGCAAAAGCACAAGCTACCTTGATCCCCACCCATCTTACCAACCTCATCACACCCAGGCCAGCAAAAGCACAAGCTACCTTGATCCCCACCCATCTTACCAACCTCATCACACCCAGGCCAGCAAAAGCACAAGCTACCTTGATCCCCACCCATCTTACCAACCTCATCACACCCAGGCCAGCAAAAGCACAAGCTACCTTGATCCCCACCCATCTTACCAACCTCATCACACCCAGGCCAGCAAAAGCACAAGCTACCTTGATCCCCACCCATCTTACCAACCTCATCACACCCAGGCCAGCAAAAGCACAAGCTACCTCGATCCCCACCCATCTTACCAACCTCATCACACCCAGGCCAGCAAAAGCACAAGCTACCTTGATCCCCACCCATCTTACCAACCTCATCACACCCAGGCCAGCAAAAGCACAAGCTACCTTGATCCCCACCCATCTTACCAACCTCATCACACCCAGGCCAGCAAAAGCACAAGCTACCTTGATCCCCACCCATCTTACCAACCTCATCACACCCAGGCCAGCAAAAGCACAAGCTACCTTGATCCCCACCCATCTTACCAACCTCATCACACCCAGGCCAGCAAAAGCACAAGCTACCTTGATCCCCACCCATCTTACCAACCTCATCACACCCAGGCCAGCAAAAGCACAAGCTACCTCGATCCCCACCCATCTTACCAACCTCATCACACCCAGGCCAGCAAAAGCACAAGCTACCTTGATCCCCACCCATCTTACCAACCTCATCACACCCAGGCCAGCAAAAGCACAAGCTACCTCGATCCCCACCCATCTTACCAACCTCATCACACCCAGGCCAGCAAAAGCACAAGCTACCTTGATCCCCACCCATCTTACCAACCTCATCACACCCAGGCCAGCAAAAGCACAAGCTACCTCGATCCCCACCCATCTTACCAACCTCATCACACCCAGGCCAGCAAAAGCACAAGCTACCTTGATCCCCACCCATCTTACCAACGTCATCACACCCAGGCCAGCAAAAGCACAAGCTACCTTGATCCCCACCCTCTTACCCGGGGAACGTTCCTGGCCACGCAGGTGACCACGCCGCCACACGAGTCGCCCTTCACCCTCACAGCGTCAATGGCATCAATCATTTTCTCGGCCACTGCCGCATCGGGGCAGCGCACGATGTTGGCTTCCACCTGAGGGCAGGGAGGGGAAGGGAAGGATTCGGGGAGGGGGGGGGGGGTGGTCGGCTTTACCCTTCACCCTCACAGCATCTATCAATGACATCGAGCATTTTCTCTGCCACTGCCGCATCGGGGCAACGCACGATGTTGGCCTCCACCTGAGGCCGGTGGGGGTGTGGAGGGGTGGGGGAGAGGGCGAGGGGAAGGGGGAGAAAAGGTTGGGTTTGCCCTTCACCCTCACAGCATCTATCAATGGCATCGAGCATTTTCTCCGCCACTGCCGCATCGGGGCCAGTGCATTCTCTCACAATGTTGCTCTCCACCTGAGACCAAGTGAGGGGGTGATGGGTGGGGAAAGAGGGGGACTGGGGGGTTTTGGGTTTGCCCTTCACCCTCACAGCATCAATGGCATCAACCATCCGGGGGGGTGGTGGTGGCGGGTGGGGGAAGAGGGGGAATGGGGGGTTTTGGGTTGCCCTTCATCACCCTCGCAGCATCAATGGCATCAATCATCCGCTCTGCCACTGCCGCATCAGGGAAAGGAAGGGAAATATTCAAATATCCCCACCAGGGGAAAGGAGTCAAGGAAGGGGCGAAGGAGGAGAGGACTCTTTTCCACCCTCACAGCATCAATCGTACCGATGATTTGCTGTGGTTGATTTTGAGAATTCTCAAAATCACCCTCACAGCATCAATCATATCGATGATTTGCTGTGGTTGATTTTGAGAATTCTCAAAATCACCCTCACAGCATCAATCGTACCGATGATTTGCTGTGGTTGATTTTGAGAATTCTCAAAATCACCCTCACAGCATCAATCATATCGATGATTTGCTGTGGTTGATTTTGAGAATTCTCAAAATCACCCTCACAGCATCAATCATATCGATGATTTGCTGTGGTTGATTTTGAGAATTCTCAAAATCACCCTCACAGCATCAATCATATCGATGATTTGCTGTGGTTGATTTTGAGAATTCTCAAAATCACCCTCACAGCATCAATCATATCGATGATTTGCTGTGGTTGATTTTGAGAATTCTCAAAATCACCCTCACAGCATCAATCATATCGATGATTTGCTGTGGTTGATTTTGAGAATTCTCAAAATCACCCTCACAGCATCAATCGTATCGATGATTTGCTGTGGTTGATTTTGAGAATTCTCAAAATCACCCTCACAGCATCAATCGTACCGATGATTTGCTGTGGTTGATTTTGAGAATTCTCAAAATCACCCTCACAGCATCAATCGTACCGATGATTTGCTGTGGTTGATTTTGAGAATTCTCAAAATCACCCTCACAGCATCAATCATATCGATGATTTGCTGTGGTTGATTTTGAGAATTCTCAAAATCACCCTCACAGCATCAATCGTACCGATGATTTGCTGTGGTTGATTTTGAGAATTCTCAAAATCACCCTCACAGCATCAATCATATCGATGATTTGCTGTGGTTGATTTTGAGAATTCTCAAAATCACCCTCACAGCATCAATCATATCGATGATTTGCTGTGGTTGATTTTGAGAATTCTCAAAATCACCCTCACAGCATCAATCGTATCGATGATTTGCTGTGGTTGATTTTGAGAATTCTCAAAATCACCCTCACAGCATCAATCATATCGATGATTTGCTGTGGTTGATTTTGAGAATTCTCAAAATCACCCTCACAGCATCAATCGTATCGATGATTTGCTGTGGTTGATTTTGAGAATTCTCAAAATCACCCTCACAGCATCAATCATATCGATGATTTGCTGTGGTTGATTTTGAGAATTCTCAAAATCACCCTCACAGCATCAATCGTACCGATGATTTGCTGTGGTTGATTTTGAGAATTCTCAAAATCACCCTCACAGCATCAATCATATCGATGATTTGCTGTGGTTGATTTTGAGAATTCTCAAAATCACCCTCACAGCATCAATCATATCGATGATTTGCTGTGGTTGATTTTGAGAATTCTCAAAATCACCCTCACAGCATCAATCGTACCGATGATTTGCTGTGGTTGATTTTGAGAATTCTCAAAATCACCCTCACAGCATCAATCATATCGATGATTTGCTGTGGTTGATTTTGAGAATTCTCAAAATCACCCTCACAGCATCAATCATATCGATGATTTGCTGTGGTTGATTTTGAGAATTCTCAAAATCACCCTCACAGCATCAATCGTATCGATGATTTGCTGTGGTTGATTTTGAGAATTCTCAAAATCACCCTCACAGCATCAATCGTATCGATGATTTGCTGTGGTTGATTTTGAGAATTCTCAAAATCACCCTCACAGCATCAATCGTATCGATGATTTGCTGTGGTTGATTTTGAGAATTCTCAAAATCACCCTCACAGCATCAATCGTACCGATGATTTGCTGTGGTTGATTTTGAGAATTCTCAAAATCACCCTCACAGCATCAATCGTACCGATGATTTGCTGTGGTTGATTTTGAGAATTCTCAAAATCACCCTCACAGCATCAATCGTATCGATGATTTGCTGTGGTTGATTTTGAGAATTCTCAAAATCACCCTCACAGCATCAATCGTACCGATGATTTGCTGTGGTTGATTTTGAGAATTCTCAAAATCACCCTCACAGCATCAATCATATCGATGATTTGCTGTGGTTGATTTTGAGAATTCTCAAAATCACCCTCACAGCATCAATCATATCGATGATTTGCTGTGGTTGATTTTGAGAATTCTCAAAATCACCCTCACAGCATCAATCATATCGATGATTTGCTGTGGTTGATTTTGAGAATTCTCAAAATCACCCTCACAGCATCAATCATATCGATGATTTGCTGTGGTTGATTTTGAGAATTCTCAAAATCACCCTCACAGCATCAATCATATCGATGATTTGCTGTGGTTGATTTTGAGAATTCTCAAAATCACCCTCACAGCATCAATCGTATCGATGATTTGCTGTGGTTGATTTTGAGAATTCTCAAAATCACCCTCACAGCATCAATCGTACCGATGATTTGCTGTGGTTGATTTTGAGAATTCTCAAAATCACCCTCACAGCATCAATCATATCGATGATTTGCTGTGGTTGATTTTGAGAATTCTCAAAATCACCCTCACAGCATCAATCGTACCGATGATTTGCTGTGGTTGATTTTGAGAATTCTCAAAATCACCCTCACAGCATCAATCATATCGATGATTTGCTGTGGTTGATTTTGAGAATTCTCAAAATCACCCTCACAGCATCAATCATATCGATGATTTGCTGTGGTTGATTTTGAGAATTCTCAAAATCACCCTCACAGCATCAATCATATCGATGATTTGCTGTGGTTGATTTTGAGAATTCTCAAAATCACCCTCACAGCATCAATCATATCGATGATTTGCTGTGGTTGATTTTGAGAATTCTCAAAATCACCCTCACAGCATCAATCATATCGATGATTTGCTGTGGTTGATTTTGAGAATTCTCAAAATCACCCTCACAGCATCAATCGTACCGATGATTTGCTGTGGTTGATTTTGAGAATTCTCAAAATCACCCTCACAGCATCAATCGTACCGATGATTTGCTGTGGTTGATTTTGAGAATTCTCAAAATCACCCTCACAGCATCAATCGTATCGATGATTTGCTGTGGTTGATTTTGAGAATTCTCAAAATCACCCTCACAGCATCAATCGTATCGATGATTTGCTGTGGTTGATTTTGAGAATTCTCAAAATCACCCTCACAGCATCAATCATATCGATGATTTGCTGTGGTTGATTTTGAGAATTCTCAAAATCACCCTCACAGCATCAATCATATCGATGATTTGCTGTGGTTGATTTTGAGAATTCTCAAAATCACCCTCACAGCATCAATCGTACCGATGATTTGCTGTGGTTGATTTTGAGAATTCTCAAAATCACCCTCACAGCATCAATCGTATCGATGATTTGCTGTGGTTGATTTTGAGAATTCTCAAAATCACCCTCACAGCATCAATCATATCGATGATTTGCTGTGGTTGATTTTGAGAATTCTCAAAATCACCCTCACAGCATCAATCATATCGATGATTTGCTGTGGTTGATTTTGAGAATTCTCAAAATCACCCTCACAGCATCAATCATATCGATGATTTGCTGTGGTTGATTTTGAGAATTCTCAAAATCACCCTCACAGCATCAATCGTACCGATGATTTGCTGTGGTTGATTTTGAGAATTCTCAAAATCACCCTCACAGCATCAATCGTACCGATGATTTGCTGTGGTTGATTTTGAGAATTCTCAAAATCACCCTCACAGCATCAATCGTACCGATGATTTGCTGTGGTTGATTTTGAGAATTCTCAAAATCACCCTCACAGCATCAATCGTACCGATGATTTGCTGTGGTTGATTTTGAGAATTCTCAAAATCACCCTCACAGCATCAATCATATCGATGATTTGCTGTGGTTGATTTTGAGAATTCTCAAAATCACCCTCACAGCATCAATCGTACCGATGATTTGCTGTGGTTGATTTTGAGAATTCTCAAAATCACCCTCACAGCATCAATCGTATCGATGATTTGCTGTGGTTGATTTTGAGAATTCTCAAAATCACCCTCACAGCATCAATCATATCGATGATTTGCTGTGGTTGATTTTGAGAATTCTCAAAATCACCCTCACAGCATCAATCGTATCGATGATTTGCTGTGGTTGATTTTGAGAATTCTCAAAATCACCCTCACAGCATCAATCATATCGATGATTTGCTGTGGTTGATTTTGAGAATTCTCAAAATCACCCTCACAGCATCAATCGTACCGATGATTTGCTGTGGTTGATTTTGAGAATTCTCAAAATCACCCTCACAGCATCAATCATATCGATGATTTGCTGTGGTTGATTTTGAGAATTCTCAAAATCACCCTCACAGCATCAATCATATCGATGATTTGCTGTGGTTGATTTTGAGAATTCTCAAAATCACCCTCACAGCATCAATCGTATCGATGATTTGCTGTGGTTGATTTTGAGAATTCT